GGACCTCTTTATATTTCCTAAAACTCTTAGGATCGGACTCGCTAAGCTTATAGCGACGGAAGATACGCTAAGCTATAGGCTACGGTAATCCCTAGAGGAGTAGCCTCGTCCTCTAAGAGTTTTCGAGGTTACTCTATTCGATGCCGTCCGCTAACTCGACAAACTCGCGGACATACCCCTTTAGGTCGTTATCCTTAGTGCGCCTTACTAAGCAGAGGGACTCGAGCTACGTACGACTGCCTTTAATACGATAGCTATCGCGCTCCCGATATTCCCTTATAAAGGCTATCTTAAAGGTCTCCTAGTTAGTATTAGACTTGTCGTCCTTTTCTAGATAGCTAACTAGGGTTTTAAGAGTTCGGTAAAGCTTAGAGGAGGTAGTCCTCGTAAAGGACCGAATCTTATACTAGTCGGATTCTCTATCGAGCTTGTAATTAACTAAGCCTTCCTTAAAACGCTCTATATATACTATAGCGTTCTACCCTTCGAATAACGGGTTTGTAGTGCTCCCTAGCTCTAGCGGGCGACGCTTGTTTTAACGGAGAAGTTCAGTTTACTTCTCTATTATCTTTATAATAATATTGTAGAGCGCCTCTAGCGTAGAGGGCGTAGGAGGCTTGCTTATATTAACTAGTCGCCGCCTGATTTCTTCGTTCGTAGGATTAGGGGCGGTTTCGGATTCAGAGGATTCCGCTAATTCTTAATACTCGTTTTCGCTAGAGCTAGAGCTTATTCGATTGTTAGTAAAATTGTTAAACTAAAATGCTATATAAAGCCGTAATAAAATGCTATATAAACGTGTTTTTAGTATATTTAGTTTGTTTGGTTTGTTATAATATTGCTACGCGAGAGAATAGTATATTAGGCTATTTCTCCTAGTATTACCTCTAGGGTAGTATTAGGATTTAGCCTCCTAGGGGTCGCCTAACTACCTCTAGGAGCTTAGTTTAGTATTAGACGAAAGCCGCTCGGAGGGAGAGACTACAATCTCTATTTATACCTAGATCCTAGAAACTAGCTCGTATCTCCTTTAGCTAGGCAGGGGGCGGTAGCCTTCTTTTTCTAGTAGAAGGCTAAGCACTATCTAAGCGAGGCTACGAATCTAGGATCGCCCTACCCGATTAATAGGGGACTCCCCGGCTATCCGACCTACAAGCCGTATTTGCTATTAATTAATAGTCTTAGTAAACTAAGCAAGGCCGATAGGTAATTAGTCTATCTCCTCCTTAGGCGGGGCTTATCTCGAGTAAGCGGTGCTAAATAGGTCTTCGACCTAGAGCCGAGTCCTTAGAAGCTAGCTATAGCTATAGACTAGGCCCTAAGCTATAACAGTCCTAAGGGTTTGCAGCTTTTCGGGGTTAAAGCGATGCCCTTATTAAGAGGTTTCTCTGCTTGTCGTAATAGCCCCTTAAGATACTTCGGTATCGCTTGTATCGTAGGCTCTTATCGTGCCTTCGCTTCGGTTATAGCTATTCGTGCCTAGAGACTACCTTTAATATACCCGAACCTGTTAGATATAAAGAGATAGCCCTACCTTCGGCTCTAATAAAGGACGGAAACCAAAACTACTACTACTACTAGTAGTAATAGTATAGGCTACCGAGGGTAATATAACCTATAGCAATATAGGCAGCTATGTTTAGCATAATAGGATAACAAGACGGTTGCTTAGGCTAATAACTAGAGCCCTACAATATAGGCATTATAGAAGTGTAATATAAACAATGTGCTATACGAGGTTAGTACTCTATCTACAATATAGAAGGAGGCCTCTTATATAGGCTTAAAACTCAGCCTAGGTGTGTAGGGCCGGTTACTAGCTAATAACGCTTATACTAAGTTTTATTTAAAACGCGCTATATAGTAATTCTAATCTAAACGCTTATACTAAGTCTTATCCGGATCGCGTATAGTAAGTCTAACTCGGAACGCTAATAGTAAGTACTATTAAGAACGCTTATAGTAAGTAGTACTATCTAAAATACCTATAATAAGTACTATTTAGAACACTTATAGTAAGCTATATCCGATACGCTTAGCCTTACGAGTATACCGCCTCGAGTAAATATCCCTAGATTAGGCGTAAACGACTATATAGCCTCGAGTAAATACTACCGGATCGGGCGTAAAAGATATATATAGTATCGGAAATACTACTATTATAGCGGCGAAGCCTTACGATACGTACTACGACTACTATGTCCTCCGAACCGGTCGCGAACTAAGGAGTTTTAACGTTCCTCGGATATAGCTAATTAGAGGCGGCTTTTAGATCGTTTTAAGCCGTACTAAGCCTAAAGTAGACCTACGGTTTGTTAAGTTATTATTATATTAGAGATAGCGTAACCGCGCAATACCGCCGCGAGCAAATACCGCCGGATTAGGCCTAAAAGTTAGATATATCCTTCCGGAATACTACTATCGCGGCGGTAACGCGTTATAATATAGACTCCGCGTAATACCGCCGCGAGCAAATACCGCCGGATTAGGCCTAAAAGTTAGATATACCCTTCCGGAATACTACTATCGCGGCGGCAACGCGTTATAATATAGACTCCGCGCAATACCGCCGCGAGCAAACACCGCCGGATAAGGTACATACGACGAAGACGCCCTTTTCGAGACTACTATCGAAGTTATAGCTCGTCGCGGTATATACTACGACGTCTACGCCTTTCCGGATCGTAGAGGTGTTTACGTTCCTTGCGTCTACTAATTAGAGGCCGCGGTTAGCCCATTTTAAGCCGCACTAAGCCTAAAGGGGCCCCAACTTTTGTTAAGTTGTTATATTTTAGACTATCTAAAACGCCTATAGTTACTAAATAGTATTCGAACTACTTATAGCGAGTACCTTATATAACGCCTACTACGAGTACCTTATAAAACGCCTATAGCGAGTACTCTATAGAATATCTATAGCGAGTAGTACTATCCGAAACGCGTAGGCTAAGCCTTTCGAGTATACCGCCTCGAGCAAATACCGCCGGATTAGGTATAAACGACCGATATAGCATCGGAAATAATACTATCGTAGCCTTACGATATATACTACGACTCCTACAATCTCCGAACCGCTTACGAACTATATACTACGACTCCTATAATCTCCGAACCGCTCGTAAACTAAGAAATTTTAAAGTTCCTTGGCTATAGCTAAGTAGAGTCGGCTTTTAGCTTATTTTAAGCCGTAGTAAGCCTAAAGGGGCCGTAAGTACCCTATAAAACGCCTATAGCGAGTACTCTATAGAATACCTATAGCGAGTAGTACTATCCGGAACGCGTAGGACAAGCTAACTACTATCTATAACGCCTATAGAAAGTCTGATTTAGAACGTTTATAATAGTAACTTAGTAAGTACTATTCGGAACGCGTATAGCAAGTCTAATCCGGAGCGCTAATAGTTAGTACTACTATCTATAACGCTTATACTAAGTTCTATTTAGAACGCGCTATATAGCAATTCTAATCCGAAACGCCTATACTAAGTCTTATCCGAAACGCGTAGAGTAAGTACTATCCGGAACGCGTATAGTAGGTCTAATTTAGAACGGTAATAGTAAGTACTATTACGAACGCTTATAGTAAGTAGTACTTTCTAAAATACCTATAGTAAGTACTATTTAGAATACTTATAGCAAGTTATATCCGAAACGCTTATAGTAAATACTACTAAAAACGCCTATAGCGAGTAGTAATATTCGAAACGCCTATAGCGGTAACTATCTAAGATATCTATAGCGAGTAGTACTATCTAGAACGCGTAGGACAAGCCTTATTTTAAACGCTTAGTATAGTTCGTCCTATATAAACCAGAACGCGTATAGCAAGTCTAATAATCTAATCCGAAACGCCTACAGAAAGTCTTGTCCGGAATGTATAAAGTAAGTCTAAGTCTAATCCGAAACTAAATACTTATACAAAGCACTATCCGGAAGGCCTATAGCGAGTAGTACTATCCGGAACGCTTATAGCAAATACTATCTAAAACGCCTATAGTTAAATAGCATTCGAACTATCTATAGCAAGTACCCTATATAACGCCTATAGCGAGTACTCTATAGAACATCTATAGCAAGTAGTACTATCCGGAACGCGTAGGATAAGCTAACTATTATCTATAACGCCTATAATAGGTCTAATTCAGAACGCTTATAATACTAAGTACTATTCAGAACGCGTACAGCAAGTCTAATAACTCTAATCCGGAGCGCTAATAGTTAGTACTACTATCTATAACGCCTATACTAAGTTTCATTTAGAACGCGCTATATAGCAATTCTAATCCGAAACGCTTATACTAAGTCTTATCCGGAACGCGTATAGTAAGTCTAATTCGGAACGCAAATAGTAAGTACTATTAAGAACGCTTATAGCAAGTAGTACTATCTAAAATACCTATAGTAAGTCCTATTTAGAATACTTATAGTAAGTCTAATCCGAAACGCTTGTAGTAAATACTACTAAAAACGCTTATAGCGAGTAGTAATATTCGAAACGCTTATAGCGGTAACTGTCCGAAATAGCTATAGCGAGTAGTCCTATCTAAAACGCTTATAGCAAATACTATCTAAAACGCCTATAGTTAAATAGGATTCGAACTGTTTATAGCGAGTACCTTGTCTAACGCCTACTATAAGTACCTTATAAAACGCCTATAGCGAGTAGTACTATCCGGAACGCGTAGGATAAGCCTTTCGAGCCTACCGCTCCGAGCAAATGCCGCCGGATTAGGCGTAAACGATACCGCCTCGAGCAAAAAACGCCGCCGGATTAGGCGTAAACGACGGAGATAGCCTCGGAAACACTGCTATCGCGGCGCCGGAGCGTTATAGTCGATCCTACGACTCCTATACCTTCCGGACCGCGCGAGAATCGAGAAATTTTAAAGTTCCTCGCCGCCGACTAATCAGAGTCGGCTTTTCGGTCGTTTTGAGCCGCACTAAGCCTAAAGGGGCCCCAACTTTTGTTGAGTTGTCATGTTGTGGAGATAGACATTCGAATGCCAAGCTCAGCTCTTGTGCGAGCGCGTACAGGCTACAGCATGTCGGACCTCTTCGAACCAAAACCACTTCAACGCCCTGCCAGGCCTAGACCCAGTCCAACCGGCACATCACCACCAGGCATCATCGACGACAGCTCATCCGACTCTTCAGCTTCATCTGCGGCCAGCGCGGCTACTGTGCGGCCCTCATCACGCGAGCAAGCTGCGCCTGCAACACATTGGACGCATTCCTTCGACCAAGAACTTTTCCTCGAGCAGAACACAGAATCGCAGCATGCGACATATCACGTCTACCTGACCCCGCCCCCGGACGGCCAGAAAGGACCTCTCTTCGTCTGTCACCACGGCGCAGGTGCATCCGGCCTCTCCTTCGCCCTTTTTGCGCAGCACGTCCGGCAGCGACTGCCTTCGGCTGGAGTTTTGTCTCTCGAAGCACGCGGCCATGGCTCGACCGTCACATCGGCCTCCACCGGCGAGGAAATCCGCGACTCTTCTCTCGACACTCTCGTCGCCGATGCAGTGTCCATGATTGCTCTGACCGCTGCGGCGCAAGGATGGTCCCCACTCCCTCCGTGTGTCCTCGTCGGCCACAGTCTCGGCGGCGCAGTCCTGACCACAATCGCAGCAACACAGCACCACGCGTTCGGCAGCAATCTGATCGGCTATTGCGTGATCGATGTGGTGGAAGGCTCGGCCATCGAAGCATTGTCGCATATGAGAACGTATCTCGCGTCTCGTCCCAGCATGTTCAATCATGTCGAAGACGCGATCACATGGCATCTCCGCTCTCGCACCATCCGAGATCAGCGTTCCGCCGAAGCGTCCGTGCCGTCCCTTCTCGTGCCGTCGCCGAGCGGCAACGGCAACGGCACGCTCATCTGGCGCACGAACCTCTCCGCCACGAGTCCATGGTGGGAAGAATGGTTCAAGGGCCTGAGTCGGAAATTCCTCACTGGCCGCGGAGCAAAGATGCTCATACTTGCGGGCACGGACCGGCTCGACAAGGACTTGATGATTGGACACATGCAGGGCAAGTTCCAACTCACTGTCATCCCCGAGGCAGGACACTTCGTGCAGGAAGACGTGCCAGAAAAGACCGCGAGCCTTCTCGTCGACTTCTTCAAGAGGAATGATCGGAGTGCCCTGGTCCTACCTCCGAAAGTAAGCGACCTCATAGCACAAGGGAAGAAAGTCTGAGGTTTCGATGATACCCGCGAACAGAAGAAAGATATATACCCCTTCAAAATCCGACAGCATGAAGCCCCAACTTTTTCAAGCCCCTTCACCTCTTAATCCGAAACTGCGTCTGCGCACTCAACAAATACTGATACGCAGCATTCCTAAAATCATCCGAAATAATCTGATTCGCCAAACTCTGAAAATTCAACAATTGCGCACTATTGGGAGTCCAATTCGGCCAATTGATCTGTCTTCCACTTCCACTCCCCAAAGAATTCGGATCCAAATCATTCACGAAAGAAACATAATACGTCTGAATCGTGTTGGTGATGGGATTCGCATCCGCATCTCCCATCAGAGCGAAACTGAACAAAAGGTCCGAAGCATGGAAAGTTCCGAGGACGGGGGTACCATGAAAATACGAAGAGAGGTAGGACCAGGTTTTGACACCTTTGGGTTGAACGGTGTGGAGGTATACGCGGCGGGTGAGGGTGAAAGTGATGTCTCCAAGGACAGCGGCGAGACGCTTGAATTGGGGGTAGATGTTGTTGAGGCCTGCTGTGCGGAAGGGGGAGCCGGCGGGTTGACCTTCGAGGGGTTGGTTGGGGTAGTTTGCGAGGAGGGCTCGGACGTTTGCGAGGGCGTTGGGGTTGGTAGGGAAGTAGTCAGCGAGGTATTGGGCGAGTTGGTCGTCGGTGGTGACGTTGGATTGGACGAGGGAGAAGGCGGTGCCTTCGTCCTCTTGGTCGCCGATGATGATGGGGACTTTGGTGAAGCGGCCGGCGTTGATGCTGACTTCGGGGGATTCGGAGAAGAAGGAGTTGCCTGGGTCTGGACGTGGCAGGTAGGCGATGTCGAGGGATTGGTAGGAGGAGATGCTTGGGACTGAGGAGGCGGCGTTCAAGAATTTCTCGTAGGAGAGGGCGCGAAGGCAAGCGAGTTGGCTGGATGCTGAGCTGCAGCCTGCTGCTGCGACGACTGTGTCGTAGACCTTTTGGCTCTTCAGATCGGTGACACTTGTCGCAGGGATTTCAGAGCCCGAATTCATGATCGCACCGCGGAAGAGGGCTTGGCCATGGTAGGTGTTGTCGCCGCCGTTGATCACGGTGTGATCAAAGACACTAATCGCTCCCGCCGACTCTCCCCAAATCGTCACCTTGGTTGGGTCACCTCCGAAAGCAGCGATATTGTCCTGGACCCATTGAAGGCCAAGACGTTGGTCACGCAGGCCCAAGTTGGTGTTGCCTTCGCCAGCAAGATCCTTGCCTCCAAGGAACCCGAATCCACCTACTCTGTAGTTCACTTCGACAAACATGATAGGCTTGCCGAGAGATACAGACTTGCGGATAATGCTGCCACCATCATACATGCCGGTACTCCCGGATTCGAATCCACCGCCATAGATCCAGAAAAGCACAGGCAGTTTGGACGATGAAGTCGCAGTAGATGGTCGTTGCACGTTCAGACTGTTACACGTCAGCATCATGGCACGAGCGCTCTTCTCAAACATACATACGTCAAGCAGTCTTCGCCAGCATTGTTAATCTCCTGAAAAAGCGGAGTATTCATAAGCTTTGCCAAAGCATCTTGCGGAAGATTGCCTGTGTTGACTTGTGTGGAGAACTGAGGACATGCTCGTGGACTTGGGTCCGAAGTGATTGTGCCAAAGCCAGAAGCGAGGGGACGCGGTGATCTCAATCGAAGGTTGCCAACGGGAGGTTGTGCAAAGGGAATGCCCTTGAAGCTGTCGATGCCACTTGCAGTACTACCAACGACCGTGCCATTCCTGATGGTGACTGATGGACCGGATTGACGTTCATCGAGAGGGGCGGCCAAGGCTGAAGTCGCCAGCAGTGCCAGTAGAGAGAGTCTGATCATCTTCACGTTTGAGTAGGTGAGGAAGTAGTGGTTCAATGGTAGAGATGGTGCTCGGGGCATGCTTGATTATTGTAAGGCAGAATCACTGATGACAACAATAGCTCTCGGGTGGAGTGGTATCCTGTACGACAAAGTGCTCGTACTGTAACGTTCTATAAACGGGAACGCGAAAAGGTATAAGCAGTTAGTTCAGGAACTCTGTGCCGCCGACGGTTGGTGTCGAGTGACAAATCTGGGAAGGATCGATTCATAAGACCAGGTTAGTCTATCAATTAGACTTGAGATTCATGCGGCCATGTTTAGACATTGCGGAGGCGGGTGTTGATCATTGGCGAAGGTAAAGTATCTTCCGAAAGCAGTATAAATTCCGTGCTCCATTTATTCTACCCGCTGTGTCGTGCTTGAGCGATCTACACGTCGTGGGCCGAGGTACCAAGCGTGAATGCAAGTCTGGGTGGATTCGATGCATGCTGCGCGCGTATAGTTGTAGTTGATTGTGACGTCTTGATATAATAGGTTTAGGAGTACAGGTGATCGACCTTCGCGTCAAATGATGAAAGGTCTAAAGCTCGTGTATGAGGCTCTTCGAATTCAGGCTATGCAAAGCTCCTCTCAATTGCGTAGTAGCACTTGACCTTGGGTAGCGATGCCGAGATAATGGTGTTCGAGGCTCAGTTCGTATCCTTCGTTCGTTTCATCGTTTCGCGGAATGAGTTCCAGAAGTATAATCAGCCACTCTGGATAGCCACGCGAAAGTAAGCCTTGTGCAACAAGTATTGCTTTTGGTCGTCTATACAGGTATTCTGTATGTGCTTCGAGCGCCTTCCGTAGCCGAAAGAATCCTCGGTTGTGGGTGATATAGCCGGGGAGTACCAAGAATCATAAGATGACTTCTGCCAGTCCATGATGTAACCTCTGGTGGTCTGCCAATTGTTCGACTGACAAGTATCGATATCCGCAAGCCAGACATTCCCCACAACCATCCTCCACAACAGTTTCCAAGCCGAATGGCGTCGAGAAAATGTCTTCGAAGCCGCTTGCGAAAGGTGCTGCGCTCATCTGAGAGATCTGGTCGCCAATCGAAGGCTCTGGAGTACCGACACTTCCGCCTGGAGAAGAGGCAGGAGATTCGCTTTTCCGCCTCTTAGGAGCAGAAGAGGCGGAGGACACACTCTTGCGTCGCCTCGATTGTGATGATTCGGCTGCAATGCTTGACGCGCCTGGTCTCGAGGCAGGCTTGAAATCGATGGATTGTTGGGAAAATGTGAAATCGGTCGGATTCTGCACGAACAACATGTGTGGTGAGAGAGTGAGGTGCTGAGGTGCTGCGGTCGGCGTCTTCGCGCCACCCAGATCGTACATGCAGTCTGAACCGAAGTTCCTCATGGCAGAGAATTCGTTCATGTCCGCAAGGAAGTGCTAGAGGGGAGATGATCAATCACGACCGGACTGCGATTTGGTGCTTGAGGGAAGTGCGGACATCAATGGCGTCTTGTTGCAGAAGGCAGCAAGGGCGTGTAGACGTGCTATCACTAACTAGCTTAGCGATTAGAACTAGAAGGGTCGGAAGTGGTTACTGCTTCGCGATCAAGCCGGCAAAAGCAGTACGATCGGACGGATGGTTCCGCGTGCCTCTCTCCGTCGTAGTCATCTTCGATTTCCCCAGTTTTGCATTTTGCGGCGAGAGACTAGGAAGAGCTTATCTGTGCCTGTAGCGTTCACGTGCAACCGCAGGCCAGTGCCTTGGACGAACGGCAATCATGGACAGCGCTGTTGTTAGGCTGCTCAACTGCGATCTGCTGCCAGAACGCGATGTTGCGTACGCATTCTGCCGTGAAAGAGATTCCCTCAGAATGCGGGACCTGCCATGACCTCACCCAAGCTCTTTGAGTATTCTGCTGTTCTCGTTCTGGGCTCACAATTGGTCGAAGCTTGTCTCCGCCATTGGCGTGCGAGGTGGTGCAATGGTGGTGGTGGCTCGAGCACCAAATCATCGCAGAACGAAACATCTCCTGCAGGCATGCGTCACGGACATGTGAGCTCCCTTCCTGAAGCTTCGTCATACACCTTCTCCTCATCGGCTTCCTGTCGCTGGCAAGACTCGCCTCGCTCACTACTTGTCAACGGCAAACGCGGCTGTTTGGAGCCCGAGAGATGTCCGCAAAGTCGGTCTGTGTCCCATGGGGATGGATTATCGGAAGCAGTCCAGGCAGAGAGTGTCTTCCGATGGGCCATGGCACTCCGTTTCAGCATTTCCGGGCTCGATTCCGCCATGTCGCTCGCTGTGGCGATGGACGCAGCCGCGTTGTAGTTGAAACTTGAGCGACGGTCTGGTCGGTCTCCGAAGTGGAAAGCGGGAGTCTCCGGGCGATGGGGTTCACGCCAGAAACATAAGGTTTGATAACATTCTTCACTTCCGTCCGGCAAACCAGGTGGGGCAAGTCCAATGACGTGTGACAACATCAACTTGGAAATCATACAGCATGTCTTCACCTGGTGCATTTACTACTCACTCAGTAATACAATAGGACAGAGTCCCGTGGCCACGGCCAACGATGACAGTGGCGAACGGCACGCCAAACGACCTACACGATGGCACGAAGCCGGATATCGTAATCGTGGGTACTACAAGTGTCTGTGCACCATCCTTCACATGCTAAAGGTCCCCAGGTAGGAGGTTCTCTTGGCGGCCTTTTCGCTGGCGTTGCACTCAAGAGCCATGGCTACAACAGTGAGCGCATACATCCTCCCCTCCTGAAATATATACTCATGCCACCTCACAGCAACCATTCTCGAACGCACGCCCACATTCTTGCTCGAAAATCAAGGCGCCGGAATTGTAGCTGGCGGCGACACCATCGAGTTCTTCAGGAGATATGACCGCACCGGCAGACCCGTCGCTGTACCCAGTTTCAAACGACTGTACCTGAATCAAAAAGGACATGTTATCCATGAGGAGGCCAATCGCCAAAATATGACTTCGTGGGATTTGACCTATTATCTCTTGCGTGCGAATTATGATCGTGTCGACTCTGCTTATCTCGAAGGAGGCAAACTCCCGGAAGCGCGAACTACTGACGGGGACACCAATTACCTATGCGCTTGTACTGTGACCGATGTGGTAGATGAAGGCGGTGTGGTCAGAGTCAAGTTTACAAAGCAAGAAGAGGACGGGTCTGAGGTTGAAGATGAATTGACCACGAACTTCCTAATCGCTGCAGACGGACCAAGCTCGACGATACGCAAGATGTTGTGTCCGGAGGTCGAACGGAAGTATGCTGGTTATGTGGTCATCAGAGGAACCGTCCCGGAAAGCGAAGCCACACAAGAGGCCTTAGACGTGTTTCGGGAAAGATTCTGCTTTTACCATTGTCCGGGAATACAGAATCTGACGTACACCATTGCGGGAGAGAACGGTAGCACGGAGCCGGGCAAGCGTCTTCTGAACTTCGTCTGGTACACCAACTTCCCCGAAGGCGAACCCGAAATCGAGAAGCTCATGACCGACAAAGATGGGAGACGCAGACATATCACAATACCACCTGGGAAAATCGCATGGGATGCTTGGGAGATGATCAAAAGCCGTGCTGACGAAAAACTTCCGCCACAAATGGCTGAAATGGCCCACAAGACCAAGAACCCTTTTGTGCAATGCATTACAGATGTCATCTCGCCGAAGCCACTGCACATGGGCGATAAAGTGTGTCTGATAGGCGATGCTCTCGCTGGCTTCCGGCCGCACACCGTTGCCTCCACCTCTCAAGCTGCTTACGATGTCATGAGTTTGGTCGATTGGCTGGATGGCAAGATCGATCGAAATCGGTTTGTAGCACAAGTGATGCAGTACGCACGCCTGATCCAAAGCAGCGGCGTTTATATTGGCAATCGCTCGCAGTACGAGTCTTTGCCAGTTGAGGAATATATCAAGGATAGGTATGTGATCGTAACGACAAGTAACAAGTCTTGAAGTGTTGCTGACGCACGACAGGAATATGATGAGCATACCTAGGTGGGATTTGAAGTACCCCGAATGGACAAAGGCAGATCTTGATAAAATGTGAACTCACGACGCTCATTATCTATTTACTCCTCTTAACAATCAACACTTCGACAAATGAGATCCCACAGCTGATCTTGCTCCTAACCCAGGCACCTGAGTCGGCCATTTACAGGCAGAGTCGACTGTATTGCTGACGAAGTGATACACCACATCAAAACTCGCCAACCTCACTTCCTACTACTCGCAGGCCTAATGATTCCAGGCTTAGACACGTGCGAAATCACTAGCTGCGCTCCAAACCTACAGCCGAGTCCAAAATCACATCTCAAGTGATATACTATATCAAAAGGTCCCCGACCTTACCTACCACCACTCACAGGCCCAATTAATCCAGACTTAGACACGTGTGAGATTAGCAGCTTCGCGCACACTCTACAACCGAGTCCCAAATCACATCTCAAGCGACTAATCACATAAATCCTCGCCAACTTCACTACCTCCAACACGGATCTTCCCGACCTTATATATTAAAGTCTCACTACTTCCGTCTTCCACCAATCATCCATGCTCGAACAGTTAGTTGCCTGTAAACCCGCTGTGGCTCAGTGGTAAGGCGAGTCCCAAGAGGCATTGTTGGGAACGACGTGATAGACGTCATTCTGCAAGAATGCCTCGATTGGGAGTTCTGTTCGAGTGTGGGGGATTGGTAAAGTTTTGACGTTTCGTTGGTAGGGTTGCCGCTATATTTATGTAATATGATTTCGAAGTTGCCAGTTGGGGATATAGTGGCCATTATCAGGCGTGAAGAATGATATAAGTTCACCATCGTCCATACATTCGACTCCTACCCAACGTCGATTCAAAGCTCTCAGGGTACCAACCGAGCCGAAGCATGACATTTAGGAATCTGAGACGCGATCACTCCACAACCATGTGAAATGGACGCAGCAGAAATGGTTGAGAAGTAGACGAGGCTCTTATCAATACCATCCATGATCATTATTACATACATTTCACGCGTGGAATGCTGTAACGAAGAGCATACTTCATTCATTCATGTCAATGTGCCGTGTTCCTAATCATGCAAACAGTCTCCGATGATAAAGATATTCTCCCATGTCCTCAGCCTGGAAATGTTTAGAGGGCGACGACAGCAGCGGCGAAGACAGCGATGGCAGCACCTCCGAACCAGACGCGGGTGTTACCAGCGCTGCCGACCTGCTGGAGTGGAGCGCTTGGGGTTGCGCTGGCCATGGTACCGTTGGAGCTCATGGTTGGGGTGGAGTAGCCGGTAGTAAGAACTGGGGCGACCATGCTGGTGGACCAGGACGAAGAGGACGAGGACCAAGACGACTCTGGAGACTCGGAGCTGGACCAGGAGCTGCTGCTCTCAGCCCAAGAAGAGGAGTGAGAGTAGCCGGTTGGCATAGCAGTGGTCTCAGCCCAGGTGGAGCTGTGGTCGCCCCAAGCGCCGGAAGAGTGAGCAGCCCAGGCAGACGAAGCGGCAGCTGGAGCAGCGGTTGCCGAGCCCCAGCCTGGCATGTAAGATGGGGAGTAGCTGGCAGTGCCGGTGTACATTGGGCAGCCTGGGACGTCGTATCTTGGAGCACCAGCTCCACCACCGCAGTCGAGGAAGTCGCAGAGCTCGCCGGTTCCTGGGACGTACCACGCGAGGGAAGCACCAGCTACGAGAACCATGTCAGTGTTGCGTTCGATACAGATCGATGCAAGAGATGGACTTACCTGGAGAGGAGACATCGGTCGACGTGCAACCAACCAAGTCAGTGCGAGCCATGGCCAGAGTAGCCAGCGAGGCAGCAGCGAAAACGACGCGGTACATTTTTGCGATTACTTGTAGCGTTGTAGAGATTGTGAGGATATTTCTGCCGATGTGCTGGCGATGTATACTTTTGTCGTCGTTGAAAGCGAATGACTTGGTTAGTTTACTGCTGACGAGAGAAAAGAACAGGAGAACATCAAGAGAGCGAAGTGTAGAATATGTAGGAACCAAATCAAATCCTGATCGTCAGGTACGTTGGAAGCACGGAACGCACTCTCTTACCTTGGTCAAACATACTAGATCCTTCATAACGCCCAAATCACCTGTGTTTGGCGGAGTCTCTGGAAGCTAAGCCCGGCTAAGCATATCATAGGGGCCGTTGTCAGGACGCCACAAGCGTTTCGCCCGAATTGCCTCTGTAAGGTTTGACTTTGCTCGCTTCGTGGATATTTTGATTTGACCGCGACGCGATCCGGTGGCTTGCTGAAATGACTGTACTGTAATAAATAGTCTGCTGACTCGGAGAGAATGTGACCGGAATACCAGCGCGGAGCGTGTTGTGGTGTTTGTGGTGTCGGTGGCTGCATCAAAGCTGAGTTGAAGTCAAGACAGTCTCGAAGATCGGCCCGGTCACGTGAGTCTTGGCTCTCCCGACCAGACGGACCTCCAGCAGACCATAGCATAGCACAGTACCACTTCCACACCACCCACCACCCTCACGCTTGAGCTTCAAAATGATAACAAAATACCTCACCTCAATAACCACAGCTTTCTCCCCATTTAACGCGAAATCCGGAAAAACAGCCCGAAATTTCCTCGCAATGCTACCCGCCAACGCGCGCTCGACCATGGCAATCGATGTAAAAATTCTCCCGCGAGCACAAGCCGATCGGCCTGTGATTTTGGATTTGAAATTCAGTAAGCGAGCGAAGTGACATCAAAAGCTTAGAGAAAAAGCTCAGGGGGAAAAAGGGACCTCGCTAACGCTCGGTTTCATAGAGGATGGAAAGGAGATGAAATTAGATTTGGAGAAGATGAAGATTAAAGAGATTGAGGTTGAGGTGGATAGACATTCGAGGAGTTTGAAACGGAAGGAGGATTTGGAGGGATGATGCATGAGGAGGAGGATTCAATGGGGGAAGAATGTTTAAGATACCCAAGATTTTTTGCTGTGAGAGAGAGAGAGAGAGAGAGACAGGAGAGGGCGTGTCTCAGCGCGAATTGTAGCATGCCGCGAACGGTTCGGAGAATGCGCGCGCGAGAAAACGAAGACTGTGGTCAGGGTTCTGTGATTCGAGATGACGCGCAGTCTGGGAGAACGCGGGCAAAGGCATAGAGCGAGGCACTTGAAGACAGCGCGCCGCTCGGGGCAAGCGCGAAATTCCGTCCCAAGATCTGTACATATGTAGGTCTACATGGACTCCAATCATGATGTCTAAATACCAAACAAAAGCCACGGGTTCAGGGCGCCATCCAGATGCCAATTGATCAATCACTGTCGTCCTCCACCATCGCAATGACATGCGCAGTGTCAACATCATCAACTTTGTCATCCTCCTCTTCGGGGTGCAAGAGCTCACCGAGATGGGTGCTTTCAGCAATAATTTCACGTGCTCGGCTCTCCCAGTCGTCACCAGCAAGCTTCATGTCCTCTTTCACGAGAAGCTCGACAAGATGTGGAGCAAGCACGACTTGCACGAAGCCAGATACGCCTCCTTGAACACCAGATGTCGAAACGAGCTTGTCCTTTTTCGATCGCTGTCGTATATCATTTGTAAGGCGGCCAATAATGTGTTCGGTTCTGCATCTGGTCAGCTTCAATACTCGAGCCAAAGTCGATGTGGCATACATTAACTTCGCTCCTTTGGGTCCATAGTACCCCATTGATGCGCCCCCTCTGCTCTCGTGGCCCGTGATGACGTGTTCTAGGTCTTTTCTGGACTTCTTTGATTTACTCTTCAACTCGTCCCGGTAATGCGATTCCACCGTATCATTCACGATATCTTTGAGGAACGAGTCGTGTGCACGCATCCTCCGCGATAATTGTTTCCAGTCGATTTCAGGATACCCTCGTTCTCGCCATTGCGCTTCTGCCTTCTGCTGCTGATGCCATCTGCAAAACCGCCTTTGCCATTTGTAATTCAACTCGCGACCACGCAGGACCTCGTCTTGAAAGTCTTCCAGCAATGACCTCTTCAGGGCCTCTCCACAATGCTCACATTTGACGGTTGGCACACCTTCGCAGATCTCAGTTGCTTCGATCTCGTCTTCTGATGATTCTGTCAACGGTGATTCATCTATCTCTGGCGCCTCAAGCTCTGCGCCTGCCGATGTAAATGACGTCTGGACAGCAGAGGTAGCCTGTGATGAAGCTGTTGAGCCGAACTCGAAGGCATCAGACATCTTGAACTTCTTCTTGGGCGAATTTTGTGCTTTCTGCTTCACAGCTGCGGCCTCTGCCCTCTTGAACTGCTTTTCGGCAATTTTCTGCTTTCTTATAGCTTCCTTGCCGTACTGTGATTGTTGTGATGACCTTGGGACCGTAATGGACCTCGCTCCAAACGTGGGTCTCTTCACCTTTCCATAGCCTGTGTGCAAGTTGATTTTCCTTCGTGACTTAGCGTCGCGCATAAGCTCCTCATCACTAGAGTATCCAGCGAGTTCGGCGTCGCTCAGCATCTTTCTCTTGCCCGGCAGTACGTCCTGTGCTCTGGGATCCCTAAACGGCCGCGTCGACTCCTCTTTACGCTGTACAACAGGCTTTGCGATAGTCACACCTGACATTTTGAAACCCGACGCTCCTTTCACCTCGCTGGGCGCAGATGGAGCCGGCTCTCGCTCAACATCGCTGCTGCTTCCTTTCGGACTTGCTCCGACATGCTCATCATCGTCAAACATGACCACCTCGTTCTGCGAGCTCCTCCTAATGTCTGTATTTTCCGGACTAGGATATGTCTTTTCAGCCTCTGTCTTCTTCGATTTCTGTTTCACCGGGCTATCATCAAGCTCGATGACCACTGCTGTACTTCGTTTCTTTGGCTGTTCTGGTGTCGCAGTCATTCGGTCGTGTCGTACACGCTTATTGTTCTTGGTAGTATCTGGTATTCTCCCACTCGAGGGCATACAGTTCTCCTTATCTGCTCCTATGCCGTCAGCATGGTCATCGCTTGACGCATGCTCTTTGCCCCCAACTGTACGTAGGAGCGGCCTGACGCCGTTTCTTCTCAGTCCATTCATTCTGAACGATTCGATGCTTTGGGTGAATGCTGACGTACTGTAGTCATTGCTTGTGATCGATGGCGGCAAATGGTGAACTTGATCTCGGACGTGACGCGAACTTTGGCATTGGAAATCGCGGTACGCGTTGAGACCGGGGTCTGTGCGGAGAGTGGAAAGCGCGTCTCCGCGTGATCTTGCATTTCATTTCATTTCATTCCAAAAAAGACTTGAACACCGTACAGATGGTATTCTGTCGACATATGAAACGTGTTAATAATGTCCTATCTTACTACCATCTCCTCCTGTCCTTCCCATCCACAATTGTGCCCCTTGGGTATAGTTACAGCAATTAATCTGCGCGAGCAGTCATAGCCCTCTCTAGTGGACCACCCATGGTCTGACCAGTTCCCGAAAACATGTCAAACATGTACATTAAAGCATTGCCTCGTCTGATCGCGCAGCTGGTGCTGAGACCAGGCTCCACTATACCCCATAACTCCATACCATCTTTAACGCCATCTGCTGTACTTTCTCCTCTCTCCATTGGTGTCTGCCTATGAGCTGGTGTCCGTTATTTCCAAGCTACAACCAAATCGCCAGGATGTAGCATCTTTGGAGTCGGTTAATCTTTCGAATCTCGACGATCAGCTGCCTTGCGCAGTTTACGCTCGCGTTGGTCGGCTCTTCTTTTCTCTTCTGCGTCTTCATTTTCCTGAGCAGCGCTTTAGTTCACTTCCTAGCAGAACGGAACAATTTCGCAGGCTCGCGGGGCCCCGTAGTGCTTTGGCCCCTTCAAAGGAAGCCGGGTGAACAGCCCAAATCCCAGTGGCCACCAAGAGAAGGGCGGCAACTAATACTGCTGGCCACCTGCGCCATAATCGAAAGCATTGGTGCCCTCTGCCGATGGGTCCATGGTGTTGTCCAGGACATTGTGGTTTGAGTCTCCGTAGGTGGGCGACGTTACATTGCCGCTGCTTCCGCCTGCAACAGCTGGCTTCTGATGCTCACCGCGAGCAACCAGGTTCTCGTCCGGAGTCAGTATGAATACGGGAATAAGATATATTTGGGCGAATGGATGTATTGCATAATGTTACCACTCACCTCCCGGTACCTGGCAAGGTAGATCTTTAGCGCCTCGCCATAATTCTCAAAGCCCAGCGAAGTCATGGCGAACAGGATATCCTCGCCATTGACTGTCTTACGCTTCTCCTGTTGACACTTCTCTGATGCTGTTGATGATTATTAGCCGCGCTCCGAACACTAATAGCCGCCGTGAGATGGCGCTAGAGCAGTACGTACCTTCGCTGGTGATGAACGAGATGAACTCGCTCACGCACTCTTGCATGCACTCTTTGGCTTCTTTTGCGATCTTGGCATTTTCGGGAAGCGCCATCTTCATGATTCTCGCGACTGGAGCAAAGTTATGTATGTTAGCGTCGCCATCGAAATTTTTGCGATTGGGATTTCTCGAGCGATTCTGTGCTTGCGGCGAAGATGAAGAGTGCGGGGATGGCGAAGGCATGGTTCTGTTTCGTCTGATCGTCCAGTCGGCGGCAGGCGAGACAGAGGCTGCAGATCTCTGGCTGGCCAAGGGCTCTCTGATTCGACGGACTTGCAGACCAGATGCGCGATGCAGCGATATATGTGTGGATAGGAAGCGACGCCAGTCACGACATTTCGTCGAGGTTTGCAGGTGTCAAAGAATCCCAAAGTCCTGTTCCTCGTGTAGCACCAGAGACGGAGAGGACAAGGATAGCACGGTGCGTGGTGCGATGCAAGGCGTGTAACGAGGCGAGGCATATGCAGTACAGGAGATTTCATCAAAGCGATACTCACCATTGGCAATGGGCAACCATCGGTCCTGCTCCTTGACCTCGAAGTCGTATCCGACATCTTCGGGACGAAGAGCAGTCATAGTCTCTTCGTCGTTGCCGTTGCCGTTCCCGTTGCTGTTTGGCTGGTCGGCGGTCTGGTCATTTTCCGCGGGCGACTGAGTGTCGGCGGCTTCGGCCTCAGTGTGATCCCTTGGGGACTGCGACATCTTTAATGGAGGTGCGTAACCGTTCCGGGTCGGATGAGCTGTCAATGATTCGCTGGCCACCACGTCAACAACACCCCTGGTGCTGCAGTACGACAGAACTAGCTCGAGTGGTGCAGGTGGAAACGAGTTGCCGGCGCCGGCACACAGAGCGAGGCCAAGTACGATCGTAGTGTCCTGCAGAATTGCGGTGTGTTTTACGTGCTAGGGCCGCGGTGTGGGTGCTGGTCGCCACTGCCAAAGGTCAATAGATCACGCAGTATCAGTACCTGCGCCGCGCAACGCCTGAGGATGTGGCCGTGGAGCGGGCGGTGAGCGCGTACAGGAAACTGCTGCGAGCGAGCCTGGCCGGGTGAGGTAGGATGGCGGATCGCTGATTCGATGTTTGGCGCGGCCGCAGCCGGTTTGCAGGTATCGCGCGTGCTCTAGTCCCAGCTCTAGGAATGTGAGCACGAGAACGGGCGGCGATGCAGTGCGGATGAACCTGAGGACCTCGCGCTGCAGTGGCGTTTGTGCTCGTGAGGTATGCTGAATATGCGATGCGATGCGATGCGATGCGAGGCGAGGCGAGACGAGGCGAGGTTCGTGGCTGCTCGAGCTTGGCAGGCGCAGCGCAGCACTGCACTCTGTCAGGCGTTGCGTTGCGGCCTGCTTTGCTTTGCTTTGCTTTGCTTCGGCCTGCCCTGCGCACAGCAACGAGACAACACAACAACACGGCTACCGCGTCTGCTGGAGCGCCACACACTCTCTGTCGCTGGCGGCAGCCCGATTGACACGGCGAGTCTGCAATCCTATGGAGGAATGCTGTGCGGTTGCGCCTCACAATGGCCAGCCCAACACAATGCGCCTGCGCCTGCGCCTGCGCCTACGCTGGAGGTCGCCGTCCGGCAGACGTTGCGTGGACGCGTCTAGCAGCGGCGTGCGGCGTACAGCGTACAGCGGTTGCTGCAGACGCACGAGTCGCTCAAAGTGGATCGGGAGTGCAAGAGAATCTGACCTGACCAGCAGCTGGCCAACGAGAAAATCGGTGCAAAAGGAAGTGGTGATTGGACCTTGAGCTGCAAAAGAGCCCGCCATTCTTTATGGAAGAGCTTGAGCGGCAGAGAGAAGCCGCCGCAGTTTCCTTTTTCCGACGAATCATCATGCGCGCTTCGGCATTTCGCCTGCTATTCGACCTCCAATGCTGGCTCTCTCACCTCACTTCATCCTCTCAGCAGCCTCGTCGTGCCTGCAACGCACATTTGAGGCCGGCCGGCAAGGACTCCCACACCAGCTGTGACACTCCTCCGGCATCTGTCAAGGTTTCAGTGTCCTTGTCTGGCCACGCTCCTGCAATGCCGGAGCCACAAAGACCTCATCCCGCATCTCACGATGCTATCATGCATGTGGGCCCAACCCGGTGTAGTCGCTATGACGAGGCGAATACTTGAAGTACTTCAGCTTGTACCTCGACCCTTCTTCAAGGGTGGCATCCTACACTTATTAGCTTGCAGATATGCGCTGGCAATATCGAGCGGCGCATTCATGACGAATTCGTTGCGACGGAAGTGCCGTACGTGCAGGCGAAAAGCCATAAATCATGGCAGCATGGGATGACCCACATTTCAGGAACCCTTTCCGTTCATCATCATATGGTCTAGCGCTCTCAAATAGGAGACAACCGATCTAGCTATCGATGAGGGACGGAGCTGCCTGTTCGCAAGCGAAGTACTGCAAGCTCGCTTTAGACGAGTGACTCAGCAGTCCATGCGGCTCGACATGTTCCGCACCGGATGCACTTCTTTCGACTTTCACCAGCCCGACCTCAATGCCTGACGTTGAAAAGAGCCTATGATAGTGAGGCTGTGCCTGACAGCTTACAGAAACCAATGATCTTTGCTCACCCTGCCCGGCCTCAAGTATTGGGCCTTCTCACTCAGCTAACGCACCGGGCCAGCGCATCTTGCATAAGGGTGCTCGCTTACCCCCTAAGGCCTCTCCCACACCTTTGGTTCACCCTTGTACATCGCGCTCATGACATCTTCGACAGACGAGATGGTGTGGTGCACGGTAGCCCTAGGACCCAGAGAAATGTCATCTTGCAGTGACGTTTGACAGCGCACATCGAGATGGGTGATAAGACTCGGTACACGGAGACATACGCTATCAATCAGGTGACATGCTGTGACTTCAGCTCTCGGTCTGCTGTGCTGTGCTGTGCTACTGAAGCGCTGGAAAGATGAGGGGAAGCGAGTAGTGCCTCAATTGTTAGGCCGAAGCACAAATTTTCTAGGCAATACGTACAAATGATACTACCAGATTGGAGGCCACATGTGCTAGAGCTCCACGCATCTAGTTTCAGAAGACTTGCTCTCGCCAGCATCAGTGCTTCTGAGACGGCAGGAGAAGTTCGGCGGTCGAGAGCCGGGCCGTCCATCCCGAACAGAAGCTTGCTGCGTCTTCATCACGCAATACAGTATTGACAGTCTATCCATGCTTGTGTTTTGCAGATCGTCTTCAGGAAATCCAAGATCCGGGTTTCGGTCTCTGATTCAGACTGTGAGGAGGCACTGCCTTCCGGAGCATGTGTGCCAGCAACCCGACCACCAGTAGTGACTCGCCTTCTTGTATGAAGAGGGGGTTCTGCAAGTGTAATTTGCAGAGCTCACACAATGCGCGGCTGTAGAGCAGGCTGCTCGCGCATGCATCCAGAGTCAGCGGCTTGCAGATAACATGTCCAGCATACAGTAGTAAAGCATGTTCCTTCGCACATCCCAGAGCAGCGATCATTGCTGAACAACTTGAATATTGTTCTTCTTCTGTATCCACAAGTCAGCACACCGCCACATAGAGGAGTACCAAATCCACAGCGGCGCACCTTCCACTTCTCCATTTCCGCCTGCTTGGTGTGATACTGTTTAACAAGATCATCCAAAACCTTCTTCAAGCCCTCAGCATTCGTCTGCAGCGCCGGCAGCACATCCTTCACCGTCCTTTCCACAAGAACGCCATTGATCATTCGAAAGCATTTGCGATCGCCGGGGAGTGGCGTGAGCGTTTCTAACACCAACCTAGAATTACACACACACTCTTGTTAGCGAACATGGCCTCGATCCATCTCACTCACAGTGAAATTCTTGCCACACAACGCTTCTGCAGGTACCAGCTGCCGATGGCGATGGCAGAGAGTCAGGGATGGGGAGGCGAACTGGTGGCGGTGAAGGAGAGTTCGATTGGTTCGAGGAATTCTTGAAGATGGAAGCGAGGGCTTGTCATTGGCGGTGAGACACCGCAAGTATGACATGATTGGAAGGGCAAAGAGTCGGGAGGGTTTTCTTTCTTTGAACGAACTCACTTATGTTCTTCGGCTTCTTGTTCTACGTCGCCGATTTTCTGCGCGACGGCTTGGAGCGTGTCTTTGTAGTTGGAGTATTGGACCTGAAGCTCTGGGTGAATTGTGAGAGAGGTGCTTGAGAAAGAATGTGGGGTGCTTACCTTGCTGCTTCTTCGCCGATATTTGTTGTTGGGACATGTTTGCGATATGGTTTTTGTGAGGTTGGACTTTGGTGTTGATGGTGAAGCTTTCTGTGCGCGACTTTTGCAGGTCCATCTGAGTGACAGAATTCCGCGCAGAGTTCTAGACGACATCGACTCAAGTGTTTGCCATCTCTCACACAACTACCCGATTCCCAGTCCTTGGTCTTGCTATGCATCCACACTTGCACAGAGAGGATCAAAATGGTGGGCGCAACCATTCCCGACGCAATGCGCTGCGCTGCACAGCCAGACTGATGTGTTGTAGGATGCGAAGAGCTCATGACAGCTCTAGAAGAATGCCACGCCAAAGGGTTCTTATGGAAGTCCATGGGCATGTGCAGTAGCACCAAGACGGAGGTCAACAAATGCCTACGAGCTGCCCGACTGCGGCGAACGGCGGCGAATCGAGAAGAGGCGAAGAAGAAGCGAGCACACATGGAGAAGATCTGGAATGAGATCGATGCCAATTCATGAATGCGGTCATTTGGAAGAAGCCATAGCCGATGAGGGGAGGACAACACTCTCAACTCACACTGCTAGAGATGTCACAATAATGTGTCGCGGGACATTGTGCGCGCTCGAGAAGAGTCAATAGCTGAACGCTATGGCGAAGACAAACAATCGGACCCGAACCTGCATGGGCATGGCATGGCATGGCATAGCGGGTGGAAAGGCGTCGGCACTTCACGAATATGCCGTTGGTATCCGGAAGTAGCGCGAGGTCAGGAAAACATGAATTGCGGCGATTAAGAAGCGGGAGCGCAAGCAGGGCAATTCGCGCAATCAAGACTCTCCGCCCATGTGCAGTATATCTCTTCCTGCTTGTATAAACGCCATCGTTGTATATTGACTGGACCAAGGCAAAGCTATAATCGTTATGTTACATCGCCTGCCGATGTGCTTTCACCTGTTGTCGTGTGCAGTTTGCGGTTAAGCCGTATCCTCCGCCCGGTCTTGAGAGAGCACGACTGGATCGAAGGACAGATGGAAGTCGTCCTCGAAATGGGCTGTGGTTCGCAGATTGCAAGGACGGAGATGTTGGACCCACTTGCGTTCTGCGCCTTCCCGAAGAAGCTTCCAGGCAACTCCCGCCGAAGCGTTTGTCTGATCCAGCTCATTTCCGGTGATAGCTTTCTGCGTCCTTCAGCATCTTCAGCATCTTCAGCATCGTCAACACTGAAAGACGAGCATGGATCCGCACATCATGTTCGCCAGCGATCCGGCGCAGTTCGCCAGCGACCTCGAAAGTCTGATGGACTCAGCCGCCGCTGCTGTTGCATCTGGCTCTATGGACAGCTCAGCGCCGACTACGCCTTCAGCACGCGCGCCGATGGTACGATCGCCACCGCCAGATCCACGCGTGCGTAACAAGCGAGCTGTCGCCACTGGCACTGAGCAAACCCGCTCCAAGAAGCTCAAGGTAACTCCGATCTAGTCATCACCAAGACTAGGCATTGCTGACCATTGGACAGCTTCAAACACCCGGGAGGAATGATGCCACCGCTTCTGCCAGTCAAGACCCAACGCAAAGCTCGCATGTGGCCTACAGCGAGTCAAATAAGCCCAATGTAGTCATCCCAACAGGACCCTCAAAGAAGCAGAAGGGCATCCAGCGTGTCGTTCAACGTCAGTGGCATTCCAACCACGATGGGATGGCCTATGAGGATCTGCTGGAGCAGCGTCGCGCTGAACAGCTTGTCAATGTTGACCGCTATGTGCCGCCCAGTGGCGCATCGACCATTGGCCGCCGTGAAAGCTCACTCGGCAACGGTACAGTTCGTGCTGCAGTACCATCAAGTTCACATCCTGCTTCTGCTTTCGGCGCTCGTCGTGGCTCGAATAAAGATCACGCCCTGTCGGGGGCTCCTCTGCGACCAGCCACGACAAATAGAACTCCTTCGAAAGGCAAGCATTTCCACTTCTCCGCGTTACCGGAAAAGGTGAAGGAGAGGATCTTGGCCCTCCTACTGATCAAAGACGGGCCCATTGTTGTCGACTTCACCTGGCTTCGCGCGTTCATCCACGGACACTGTCGGGTCCCAGCTTCGTATAAGAACGTCAAAGATAGCGAGACCGGGCTGAATTACTCTGTGCCACTTCCCTGGGATGAAATCTACCAATACGTCCGGATAATGCAGGATGACTGCAAGTCCTTCAAGGGCGCCATGGAGCTCCGAGGGGACAAGACCCGCACAAGGAAGGGACCATGCCGCGACTTGACGGCAGCCAGCCTCCTCAAAGTGTCTCGGGATGTGCACAATCTTGCAGCGCCAATTTTCTATGGCCGAAACACATTTCAGTTTCCTTGGCCGACTACCGCGTGGATGCAATTCGAATCGTTTCTGGCCACCATTGGACCACACAACGTCGGTCTTCTTCGGAGAGTCGACATTCATGCACCGCTTTGGTAAGTACAGATTTCTCGCCAAGGCGAATTAAATGAGGACTCTTTGCGGGTCCTTGTAGTCTTGTTTCAATCCTTACCCAGAGGAGACCGCTCTCTTGACGTGTTGGCTGATTCGTATGCGCCCCAAATCAGGCATCGCGGTGTTCAAGAAGACTACGTGGAGGGCGCGATGCTCGATCTGACCTCACCAGCTTCACGCATGGCTATTGTAACGCCACCACATCAAGATCGCTTGCTCTCCGCAATTAAATCGTCTCTTCAAGCGCTCAGAGGCAACCTAACGCATATCTCCTTCACGCTGGAGCACGGAATGGCTACTGATCGGTAAGCTAATGCGCAGGCGGGCTGCTTGACGAGAGTGATGCGCTGATCGCCGCGACTCGCAAATCCAGATGGACGGGAAGATACACAAGTGATCGACAGCTCATTGCCATTGGCGATGCCGAGGACCATGTTAAACGAAAGCAAGAAGGTGAGTCGAGTGGAAATGCTGCTCATAGTCCCGGCTGCGATCGAGTTGTTTCCTCAACAGCCGCTACGAGTAACGAGGATGGGAGTATCTCGTCCTTGCCGTTCGCGTCCGTATCATCAGACATCTACTAATACTTCTTCATCCAGGCATGTCTTTGCTCAAGGATTTCGGGAAATCTCTGGCCACGGCTCCTATCCTCCACCTCCATCACCCCAATCCCTCCGCGAAGATACAAAAGCACGACAAGGCGGAATTTCGTTCGAGATTACCTGGTGTCAAGCAAGAGGCGGGAAAGTACGGATGGCAAGTTGATAGTCAACTCAAGGAACGTCGCTGGTGATTCGCATTCATGGATAAAGAAAGATGTCAGCACAGCGTACCTGCCGGCTTCCGATTGTGCAACTGGGAGAGTTGTGCGTGGGGTGCAATTCCTTGTTTTAAAAACGGCGTGCGCAGGATTTCGAGAGTAGAGGGGATTCCTGTTACTGTATAGATTTGGGTTTCCTATACCACGGCCAAATCTCTGCCAAGGTTCGAATGATCAGTCACAGCCCTGTAACCCTCATCGACCGCTCTTGGACCCCCACGTTCGCCATATGCTTCTTGCTACGTTGTCGACTATATAAGTGGGAAGACAGGAGTCTTCGATGCGACCACGACTGAAGTTGCGGAAGCATTCCAGGAGTAATTTCCGTACCAGAAATGATATCCGGCAAAAGCGAAGTAAACCTTGGAAACGACAAAAATCGTGTCGAATTTGAGATTCTATGAGTCTTTAATCCAAACTTTGCCAACTTCCCGAGCCACATTCATGAGATTCTGGTCTCTGTAGCGAGCAGAAGTCAAGCTCAAGCCAATTGGCAGATTCTTCTCGCCGTGGAAAGCCGGGACGTTGACGATTGGCACATGGAGTGCAGTCCAGAGACTCTGGAATACTGCGCTCCCAGTTCTCTCCAAGCCTTCAGGCGCGACGTCTGGTACGGATGGCGCAATGACGGCAGCATACTTCTCTGCAATAGCATCCCACTTCGGCCGGAGAGCGGCAATTCCATCGAAGGCTTCGAGATACTGTTTGCGAGTATAGCCGTGATACTCTTCCACATGCTCGACCAGATCAGGGGCGAGAAAGTGCTTCGCCATGTAGTACTCTGGTCGAAATGCCACTCTGCCATCCGAAAATAGCATCACGGTGTGCCAGGTGGGCAAGTTCGAGAATTCTGGAGGAAATTCGAGATCTTCGACCTCGGCCCCGGCGTCTTTGAGAAGTTGCTTGCCGGAATCGAAAGCGTTGCGTGTACCAGAACCGGCATGGTTCCAGACCATGGTCTTGATGAAGGCGAATTTCAACCCTTTGACGCCGTTCGATAGCGGCCTTGGAACTTCGTCATCAGCCAGACCGAACACTTTCCCGACGAGTTCAAGGTCCTCCACACAGCGACCATACCAGCCTAGCGTATCCAAGCTGATACTGTAGATTTTCTGACCTTCTCGCGACACGCTGGTCCAAGTCGGTTTTATTGCCCAGATGCCATTGAAACTCGCCGGCCTAATCATCGAGCCACCTGTTTGCGTGCCCAGAGCAATTGGCGCTTGGAAGTCTGCGACGGCTGCACCAGATCCAGAAGATGAGCCTCCAGGTGTGCGATTCGGATCGTGGGCATTTGAGGTCTTGGTACCGACTGTAGTAGCAGCAAATTCCGTCGTTGTCGTTTTGCCCAAGATCAAAGCTCCGGCATTGCGAAGCATGGCTACGCTGCCGGCATCAACTTCCGGCTGGCTGTCCTTGTATATTGGAGAATTGTGCTGAGTAGGCATGCTGGAAGGAGCGAGTCAGTGAGATCATAGCAGGCATTAAATTCTTGTTGCCTCACCCCTTCGTGTAGATGACATCCTGCACGCAATCAGCTCAAGATCAAGATCAAGACACGGCAATCAGCAAGCATACCTTAACAGCGACTGCAACTCCATGCAGAGGACCACGCTCTGACTTTGGAATCCTATCAAGTGCTCTCGCATTTTCCAAGACCTGATCTGCATCAAGATAAATCCAAGCTTTGACGATATCATCCCGTTCTTTGATGCGATCAAGCAACGATCTAGCATAGTCTTCGACGGTCAGAGTATCCGACTCAAAAGCTTTCAATGCTTCCACAGCACTCAGACGGTACGGTTCGGCGCTCATATCGAAGTTGGCTTCAAGCTGCTGTTTGCTGAAGAGAGCGAGATTTGTGACTCTGGAGCTTTTACCTACGAACTCGAACTACCGGCCGCAAAGGCGACTCTTCGCCGTTTCTGCCCGGGCTCCGTGATCGGAGGCGAAGGAAGCCATCTTGGCGTCGGCCTATCTGTGCCAGGACCATCACCAGAGATCATATCCGAGTGCAAGGTGTTGGAGGTGTCTTTTGCGAGGATGGAGTTGCAGGGGAAGGGTAGGTGCAGAGGTCATTCCCTACCTCCTTTTCAGGCTGCTTCGTGATTTCCGCTCAGTGTGACTGCCCTCGGTATTTCAAGCTTGTGCACGTGCATTCTATACATATATTTATGCCTCAGGCAAGCTGAGCGTGGTGAGAAGTCTGTTGCTCATGAGAAGAGATGATCGCGTCCCGGGAGCCTCGAGACCTACGCCACCATCGGAAATGAAGCAGCAATTAGACCAGCCGCCGAATGCTCATCAGCGTCCTTGATATGGATCAATGGGTTTCCTGGTATCTATAAATTGACCATCGCTCGCGAGCTCGGAAAAATCACCTGGTTCAGAAATCGCGACTCTGATCAGCAACTACGAATTCATCGATCCCGTGGCCGAAAATTCTTGAGTGAAGACACATTTCTACATATCAACAGACTCACGCTGCGCTCTATCACAGCTGGCTGCCAAGCTCCACAATCCTGCCGCACGCGCTCTACTGTCTTTACTGTAAATCATCACAATAAGCAGCCAGTCCAATGTCCGGTTAGTACCCTCTGATATCTAGAAGAATGAGCTGTTCCGCCCTTTACAAGATAGGTCACTACGTCTAGCTCGTGAAGGTACGCATCGAAGTTCAAACATATAGTCGAGAGGCAGAAGGAAGTCCCGGAAGCAAAGCATTGATTCATCATGCCGTCTGCTGTTCATCCCACATAGTTCGGGCCGCGAATACCAAATAGAATTGTTTGCAAGTGGATTGAGAATTGTGCGAGAATGCAAGCCGACTCTGAGTCTTGCGCCTTATCGTGATACATATTATTTCGTGTTGTTGCAATGTGGCTGGGGAATCCCACACGCAGTGAACCCTAATAAGCATTCAGGACCCGAGATCGCGCAAGACTTAGGGATGAGAGGAAAATCACGAAAGAAGGGTTTTTGGTCGAGAGCAAAAAGTTTAAGAGAGATTGAAGTGCTTGCAAAGTGTACTACTGTATGTAGTGCATTGCCTCGTTCAGTAACTGCCCATTGGAGCAAGTTCCACAAGAAGTGACATGTTTTGGGTCAGCGTATCCGTTATTGCCAAACTCTTTTTAGAATAAGATACATAGTACATGTACGTCCGGAGCCTTTTGGCCGTACCTTTCTACGATGCAGTAGCTTAAGCTAGTATGGTGACTAGGATTGTGAGAATCGGAGGCAGGCCCGTGCTTCGATGATGCCCTGCGCATATTTCTGCAAAGGGCAACTAGTCAAGATGCAATCTGACATTCCCTTAGCGCCCGTCCTTTGGAGACCTATGGGCGCGATTGACTTGATGGCTGTAGGTTTCAAAGGTCAGGTCGAGCTGGCCTTGAGTGTTTACTCCATCTGTGCAGTGATGCGCTGATCATTCCCCCAACCCTGGCCATCTGCTCTGACAGGAGGATTGATGCTGGGAGCTAGTGAATGCCCGCATATCTCTATGGGTGGCTTCCTCTCAGAATAGGCGAGGTCTCGGGATTCTGCAAACCGGGAGGCCGGCCTGGAGTCCGTCGTGCAATATATGCAAAGGTGTTGGAGTCTGGTCTGGGCGGTCGCAGAAGGCCAGCGATTTTAGGACCAGCTGCAGCTACGTCCACCCATGATGAGCGTGACGGTGCTGCTGAAGGTCCGCGTAGTGTGAAGTTCTGTTGCGCGATGCAAGCCTCAGTCCATATCCATGGCGTCTGGATCATCGTCCATGTCCTGTGAATGGCCTGTCGCATACCCACTGCCATAGCCATGTGCAGTCTCCACAACGTCATGGCCTCCATGCTCGTACTTGCAATTCATGTCCCGTTGACGCGCTTCCTCCGCTGCCTTCTCACGCGCTCTCTGCCGTGACTCTATAATCGCTTTCCTAACCGCATTCGAACCCTCACCCGAAGTGAGCGGCTTGGGCTCGCTATACAGCACGAGCTCTTGGCCCTCGTGGTCATCGTCTCTGCGCGCAGTGAGGAGGTGCTTTGGGATCTTGCTGAACTGCTTCACGATATCCGGCAGGAAGATCAGCTTCTCCTCGTCCGACTCCACGTCTGCCAGCTCTTCATCCAGATTGTGAACATACACGCGATCACGCGTCTCATCTACTTGCATTGACTCATGGTCGGCTGTGGCCGCTGCTGCTTTCACGCTTTCTGCCTTGGTCGCGGCGGAGCTTGGTCTCGGCGATGGCGCGAGGGGGATGTAGTAGTTGCTGTTGCGGTGATCTCCATTGATGGCGCCTGCACATTCACGAGTCAGAATGCGACGATAATTCTTTTGGTTCTACTCACCAAGGTTCAGGAGGTTGAAGCGTTTCGCAAAGCGCTCGGCATCGCTGCTCACGCTTGACTCATCCGCCCGTCTCTTCCTCCCTGCTGCGACGTGCCCACCACTGCCATTGGCCAGCACAGGCGTGTTCCACATGGCTGCACTCTGCATCTCCCATAACTAACAACGTCTCTCAGTCAACACATTTCCGAGCTTCGTTTGGCCACAAGATAAGTAAAGGTGCTGATTCGAAGCGGCTGAAGTTCGAGCTTGCATGCGGCGGAGCTTGATCCCGCACTTTCGCATCACGTCGAACTTTTTGTACGTTTCTAGAACCACCGCCACCGCCAACCTCTCCAGACACACGCCAGCCCTCCGACTGTCACGCTATCCGAGTTTTCGCGCAATGGCGTCCACAGCGGGCCAGGAGCCTGAGTGGACTGCCGTCAAGGTCCGCAAGACCTTCATTGAGTGAGTCTCTCCGTGCTCCCAATGCTAAGGAGGGTATTTCTGCATGCGCCACGGCTTCTACGCAATGCCTGACTTCACTTGGACCTCCGACCTCCTTGTACACGTGCACAAACTGCCGTGACTAACATTGGCCTAGCTATTTCGGCAAGAATGGCCATACCTTTGTTCCTAGCGGCAGCGTGGTGCCATTGGCAGATCCAACACTCCTCTTCACCAATGCTGGCATGAACCAGTACAAGTCAATATTCCTTGGCACCGTTGATCCGGACTCTGATTTTGCTAAGCTCAAGCGTGCTGCCAACTCGCAAAAGTGCATACGTGCGGGTGGCAAGCACAATGACTTGGACGATGTCGGTAAGGACTCGTATCATCACACATTCTTCGAGATGCTGGGCAATTGGTCCTTCGGCGACTACTTCAAGAAGGAGGCCATCCACTTTTCGTGGGAGCTGCTGACCAAGGTCTATGGTCTTTCTCCCGACAGGCTCTACGTTACCTATTTCGAGGGAAAGAAGGACGCAGGCCTCGAACCAGACACTGAAGCTAGGGAGTTCTGGCGTGCAGAGGGCGTCCCTGACGACCACATCCTTACTGGTGACATGAAGGACAACTTCTGGGAGATGGGCGATCAAGGCCCCTGCGGTCCTTGCTCTGAGATCCATTATGACCGTATTGGAGGCCGCAATGCTGCAGACTTGGTCAACAAGGACGACCCAAATGTCATCGAAATCTGGAACAATGTCTTCATTCAGTACAACCGAGAACCCGATAAGTCTCTGCGCCCGCTTCCAGCGAAGCACATCGACACAGGTATGGGCTTCGAGCGTCTGGTTTCAATCTTGCAAAACAAGTACTCAAACTACGACACCGACGTCTTCACGCCGATCTTTGCGCGAATTCGAGAAATTACTGGCGCGCGAGAGTACAGTGGCAAGTTTGGCGACGAGGATGTGGATGGAATCGACACTGCATACCGAGTTGTCGCTGACCACGTTCGCCTTCTTACATTCGCCATCTCGGACGGCGGTATTCCAAACAATGTAGGTCGTGGATACGTTGTGCGTCGTGTATTGAGGCGTGGTGCACGCTATGCGCGCAAGTACTTCAACACCGATATTGGCAGCTTCTTCTCCAAGATCGTGCCTACGCTGGTGGAGCAGATGGGCGATATGTTTCCCGAGATCAAGAAGAAGCAGGCCGAAGTCATCGAAATTCTTGACGAGGAAGAGCTATCTTTTGCCAAGACTCTGGATCGTGGCGAGAACATGTTTGAGAAGTATGCGCAAAAGTGTAAGGCGAACAACTCAAAAGTCCTCGAGGGTGACGACGTGTGGCGACTTTACGATACCTACGGTTTCCCAGTCGATCTAACGAGACTGATGGCGGAGGAGAGAGGATTGGACATTATTGATGAAGATGTTGCCAAGGCGCAGGAGAAGGCCCGAGAGGCCTCAAAGGGCGAGAAGAAGGCAGGAACAGATCTTGTCAAACTTGACGTCCATGACATCAACGCACTTGAACAGATGGCGGATGTGCCGAAAACTGACGACTCCCCAAAGTTCCAGAGGGACAACATCACTGCGACGATCAAAGCTATCTATCACGGCCGAAAGTTCTTGCAGTCAACCGAAGAAGTACCGAAGGGCGAACAATTCGGTGTTTTCCTTGACCGGACCAACTTCTACGCTGAACAAGGTGGCCAGGAGAACGATACAGGCCGGATACTGATTGACGGCGAGGCTGAGATCGATGTTCACAACGTGCAACTGTATGGCGGCTATGTCATGCACACGGGCTACATGAACTACGGAACACTCAAAGTCGGCGACCAGGTCTTGAGCGAGTACGATGAGCTTCGACGACAACCAATCCGAAATAACCATACAGGCACACATATCCTCAATTTCGCGCTGCGAGAAACGCTCGGGGACGATGTCAATCAAAAAGGTTCATTGGTCGCACCAGAGAAACTGCGTTTTGATTTCAGCCACAAGCAAGGCTGCTCTGATGCCGAGCTTGAGAAGATTGAAGAATTAAGCACGGGATACATTCGTCAAAACAGCGAAGTGTACGCCAAAGATGTGCCGCTCGCGACTGCCAAGCAGATTGAGGGTGTACGCGCTGTATTTGGCGAGACCTACCCTGATCCTGTGCGCGTCGTTTCCATCGGTGTGCCAGTGGAGGATCTACTTGAGGATCCCAAGCGAAGCGACTGGCGCAATGTATCTGTGGAGTTCTGTGGTGGCACACACGTGAAGAACACCACTGAGATCAAGGATCTGATCGTGCTCGAAGAGAGCGGTATCGCGAAGGGGATTCGTCGAATTGTTGCTGTCACTGGCCAGACGGCACATCGAATCCAACTTCTTGGGGAGGAGTGGAACAAGAAGGTCGCTCACATCGAAGGCATGAAGTATGGTCCCGAGAAAGAGGGTGCGGTGAAAGAGGCACAGCATGACCTTGGCAAGCTTGAAATGGCCGCGCTCACCAAGACCAAGCTGCGTGAGCGTGTGGCCAAAGTGGTGAAAGAGAACCTTGACCACCAGAAGGCTGCACAGAAAGCTGAGAACAAGAAGCTTCTCGACGCCGTCAACGAGCACTTCGATAAGAACAAGGACTCCAATACCTTGGTGCTGAGCTTTCCTGTTTCCGCTGGGTCTAAGGCTATTCAGGAGACCATGAAGGTCATTGGCAACAAGCAGAAAGACAAGACGGTCTACCTTCTCGGTAAGACTGAAGATGGCAAGGTTGTCCATGGTTGTCATGTTTCTTCTGATGCACAAGGCAAAGGCGCTGATGCCGCGAAGTGGTCGAACGAAGTCGCTGGCCTGGTCGGAGGCAAGGCTGGTGGAAAGGGTGCTACATCGCTTGGTCAAGGCACCAACGCGGATAAGGTCGACGATGCTGTCGAGGTTGCGAGAAAGTATCTGGAGGGTCTCAGCATTTGAGCCATGCCGCTCCGGGCGGCGTCTGCAAGTTGGCTTGTCAAAAACATGAACTCGTGAACCGGCGGAAGCAACAAGCTGAGCGTTCCCAAAGATACACACACCTTTATAGGGTATGTAATGCTAAGATGATACACTAACTTGTTTTCTGATAACCTTTTCTCGCAGCTTCCTCTTACTGCAGCAACTCTTTCAGACGAGGCAAGCGCTCCTGCCGGAGGTTCGTCCGCAAGCCGCGGCGCTTAAGGGGTGCATGCGCGCTTCGTCGACCTGGCTAGCGCTTGGGCATCTCACGTAATTGACTTCACACTCTGGCAAAGATACAGTACGCCGGCGTGTGAAGGCATTCAGCTGAGCGCATGGTTTACGTGCCTGACTTTCTGGAAAATTCGATGATGACGGTTCGGAGCCGCCGAATGCTGCGAGCAGCCATTGGTCTCCGCAACAATAGGTTCCTGGTTGTCGAAGGCCAACTTGTTGTGGATAAGTTTCCGCAAAATCTTCTGGGCCGCGCAGGATTCGGCGCCGACTCGTGTAAGCAGTCAGCCAGCCACTATCGGCGGATCCGACTACGAACTGAAGTTCAGGTTCGAGACGCAGCGCAATATTCGTGAGTATTTCCTGTCACGATGTACGATGTTTTGCGGGGGACCCGGGAGGCAGCAATGGGGGCCGAGTCGATGTCAACAATATGCATCCAGGCGGTTCAAGTCAGGTCAGGTCAGGTCAGCCTACGGACTTGGATAAACGACGACGGCTGATCAGCTCTCAGCCAGCCACAGTGTTGGTGTGCAAACATCCGTTAGCTCGTACATTTTGTTGATGAATCGTAGAATTCTTCTTCAGCCAAACATGCGGGTAGGGAGCGAGCGTTACACGGTGTCGATTTGTCGCGCCGTAGATGGCTTGAGCCTTGTGGAGCTTCGCTGGTGCAAGGTCTTGCGGGTATCGCAGCTAGTACAGTAGATGAAGCCAACAGTAGCTTGTTGGCATGGAGGGATATCGACCTGCTTCACGCCAGTGCATGTATCGAGGCCTGTTCCTGGACATCGGTCATCCAGCCCTTGGTCGCCGCCAACGATGGTATCGTGCCTTCTCCGTCTGAGTAATGACAGTCGTCTACTCGCAGCCGGCTGCCTGGGCGTGTCCTGAATCGCAGTCTTCTCAGCCAGCCACTGTCTGAATATGCACTTGCGGGAGGTCATCCGTTAGTCTGCCAGACTTTCGAACGACTGAAAAGACACGATCATGTGGCGAGCTCTACAGGCGATGCCCAAGCCAGCGGCATGACATGGCATGGCATAGCTTGTGGAGGTGGTTGGAAGTTGGAAGTTGGAATTCTATACAGCATATACATACAGTCGTTGGACTTATTACATGCTACCCTTGTAGAGGTGGTTGGAATAGCATGTACAGTCGCTGGACTTACCCGCTAACCTTGTCGGGAAATCGGACGACTAAACTTGGAGCAAGGTCCAGGCAGCTAGTTGCTCTGCGAAGCCTGACCTTACTTGGTCAAAATAGGTCTTTACATCAAATGCGTTGCTGTGGTATGGGCTGGGAATCCTGTAGGACTACAGTACAACGGTAGTAGTGCTCTTGCTGGGCATGCGAGCTGCTTGGAGGCTCGAGGTGGACGGTGGGCGCTTCCTCCGAAACAGGATGGTGCACAGTGCGACTGCTAGATTGATGGCTTGGCATTGAGACGTCAACGTGCATGCGAGTATTCTACTTGCACCTTGCTCACGGCTGCGGTCGGCTTAAGCGAAACTGACTATGTTCTAGGCTTCTAGCAGCGATTAGCAAAGGCCCGACCTGTAGGCTGTATATTGTGCCAGTTCTTGCTGGGTCAGTTAGATGGATGGCGGGCGTAGCAGCGGAGACGGAGACCTGATGATGTCAACGTGAACTTCAAGCAGCCTTCTGAAGATCAATCTGTGTTTGTGATACTCCCTTCCCGTGGGGTCGTCGAGGCTGCATTCTGTATTCTGCATTCTGCGATTTCCTAATGCGGCAGTCATGCATGTCATGGATCAAGCCCATGTCTCCATGTACAGCACAATTCTGTGCCAATCTGTGCCAATGTGCTGTGCCATGCGCGGCAGCACAGCTCGCAATATACAATAGGTTGATGAAAGGAGAACGCTAACGGAGGTACGTGATGGCGAAAGTGCAGTGCCCGAAAGCGGCAGGCTGACTCTCGTGAGCAGGAGCTGTAATGTAACATGGACAAGCCTGAAGAAATTCCAGTGTCAAGCAAGCGAAATGTTCACGAGCAATCGCTCATATGAGACGCACACTAATGGCTGTTTCCGTTGCCAGCATGTGCAGCATCCTGATCAAGCAAGAGGACAGAGTGTACCATACCGATACAATCATTAATCCTAGGAAGCCAGTGCGTTGACTGAAGAGGTCACGAGGATGGCCGATGACGTGCGTCGCCGCCTCCAACGGTCAAGCATACAATCTCGCCGAATCTCCGATATTGAGCCTCACGACCCGGCTGATGTAGGCCTCAGGACATGGTCACAGCCTTGTCTGACCTCCGCATCTGTATCTGTTTGCCCACGGCAATTACCCTTGGCGGGTGTTCGTGTTCGCCGTCATGCTGATGTCCGATCTCCGAAGCCGGAGTTTTCCCAACACAACGCCCACGAACCTCACGTCGTCAACTTCGGCTTCTGAACATGTTTTACCATGTTTCGGCATAGTCGAAAACGGCAACTGCAGCACCGAGTGTGTTCGCGCTGTGCTCCTCGATCGTCTCAGCCGCCACTCCGCACTGCATTTCCACCCGCACGTCCAGCCATACCTAACCATCTGAAGCAGCGAGCCATGCCTGCTCGGCCACGAGCCACCTTCGTATGGACTCCGCGCGCTGGCCTCATGCTGGCGCTTCAATTTCTGCCACTCAAACATCCTAAAGAAGCGATACCGAATGCCGCACAAGATACCATGCACTAACAAGCTACCTACCTTACCGCTCAGACGCGCGTCAGATTCTATTCTATACTTAGCCTCAGCCTGCCACATGTGCATACGGTGTTACCATCTCAGCGCTGGATATGAGAGGTCTCACGAGCGAGTCGACTAGTGCATGTCCTTCGGGAATCATGTGCAGTTGCCTGATCAGGATGAAATATCCATATTGCGGCACAGCCTGACAGCTCATGTTCTGGCTCCGATTTATTAGCCGCCACGAGCTAGCACGGAATGACCCTTGTAGCCCTACGAAATCTCACCTAGCAGCACCTTACACAAACGGCATTATTGGAATAGACCAGTCTTACCATCGCTACGCGGTCTGTGGACGACGCTTCAGCTCTCACTACTGGATGTCTGTCGGCTCGGCATGGGCTGCCTTGTCGCTCTGACACACCAGATGCCATTAACGACTGCCATAGAACCGCTGCATTAGATTCGTCCTTGAAAACTAATGGATGTCCATCGGCTGCTGCATGGGTTGCCCGCTATCGACCGGCGTACTGTTGAGTCAGTACGAAAACCAACAACCCAATAACAGAAGTCGAGGCCCTTCGCTCAGCGACCGCCGACCGCAGGACAACAATGCTTGGCGAAGTCAATCTCCGCACCTTGGAGTCGATGCCCAGCGTCCTTCTCCACCTATTCTAGAACTCTATCTCGCAATTCCCAGATACTGCATCCGACTCGGGACCCGACGAAAACTCTACACATCTCCATCTCCGCATTCATCAAACATCGCTGCGTCCGGTTCGCAGCAGACCAATTCTATTCCTTGAACGCTAACGGTTGTCCTCCGGATCCACATTATCCATTGTCCGCATCAAGACAACCTTTCTTCGTTCCTGTTAGTTTCTTCTTCTTCTTTAAGAGCTACAAGCTTATAATGGGGCCGGCATTACATACGTCAATTTGTTGATAACAGGCACACTGATCGCTTGCACCTGGGAATGAAAATGTCTCACCAATAAGAGTGCTGTCACGTACTGATTCATAATAAGAGTCTCGCAATGCTGACGCTGTTGATGCCAAAATCTCCCGCTATGCCCCGTTAAGCTGCCGGCTTGAGCTGCATCTGAGTAGTAGTTACCGCAAGCCTAGTCACACCCCTTGGTCTAGTCCACACAGTATACCGCATTAACTTGCACAAAACTCCAAACGCCCTCGGACTTGCACTTGTCGAGAAGACTAGAAACAGCACTAGTTCCTAACGGGTGGGTTTCTTATAGACTGATAGCTTAGCTAGCATCCTCACTGCTACAACTACATTCCTGATCGTCCGTGCTATTATATCCATCTTATTATATCAGAAACCAGTCGACTCGAAAGTTCGCAACCACGCCACTACTCACTTGTAGCTTCTACAGGTATTTTTGCACACATTGTAGGCGCTAGCAGCCTTTTCTTATACAGGTTATAGTTCTACAGAGTGATAATAATAATAGCTACAACAAACAACTACACGCATATAGCTATCCCTACCTCCTTTCGTCAGTTCAAAAGTGTATTTCACCGCCGCTGCAAGAACAAACTAGGATTTTTCAAGCTCCCCCTACTCTATATATAACGAAAGCCCCGAAAGAAGAAGACGCAAGGTACTGCAGAAACCAACCTTCCAAGGCATTTCCTATAGGAATCTTACCTACAACAAATCTCGGAAGTCAGAACCCGAAGCGAGAGTGGACGGGGGCTTTTTTGGCTTGTTTGAGAATACGCATCTGGTCGAAGCGTTCGTATTACAAGGGTTCTTGGTTGGTTGGTTGGTTTTTCAGCCACGCAATATCGGATGATGAGAGATTCGATGGAAGAGGTGTTCGTGTTGTGAGCAGGAGTTTGTTGGTGTCTATTGGGTCTGATGGTGCGGAAACTAGAGGATGTTCTTCGGAGGTACTTGATGCGGTATCCAAATGCAGTCTGATTATACGGCGAGGGATAGTGGATGAATGGATGTGGAAGGATAGCTAGAAGAGGTGTTGTTATGACAAGCAGGAGTTGTTGGTGTCTATTGGATCTGATGCTACGGGAACTAGAGGATGTTCTTCGGAGTCACTTCATGCGGTATCCAAATGTAGTTTGGTATATGGCCGTGGATGGTTGCATAAGGATAGAATCATGTTCGTGCCGCAAGGGCTTTACAGGACCGGAGTGAAAGGACTAAACTTCTCTTACAACGGCATCTCGTGTTGGTGGTTGGTGGCGAATGGGTCATATTGCATTCGATGGAAAGCAAGCTCCACTCTCCCCTGGGCGCAACGGCGCTGTAGAACTTGCATCGGTGAGCTTCTGTCGTTGAGCATCGGATGCTGAGATGAGACTAGGGCTATCGAAACGGGATTGCTTTGTTGGCACGTTGTGTATAATTAAGTGTCAAGATCTGGTTTGTGCAGCAATGCCTGTGAAGCTGGAGGGCGATTGTGCATCCACAATCCTGCGCGGCCAGAGATCCGGACGCATACCAGTTGTTGGTCCGAAGAAGTGTTGGTCGCATCACAAGAAGGACACTGAGCTGTCAAGCGCTGCAGTGATGGCATGTATGCACTTGACCGCTATTCCGCGTGTTGCATGGATGGCTGTAGTGTCCATAGCGCGGGTCTCGAGTTGTGACAATGGGCCGACCGGTCCGATATCATTGGATCTGCTGTGTCAATGGGTCCCTGAGATGCCTTTGGTTTGTGGTCGAGGGCAATTACGGCTCAAGTCCCGGTGTCGCTAGCCTCCATCACCGACTTTGTGTCGTGATGTGTATGTCAGCATAGTGCGTGCACTTGTTCTGGAAAGCTGATCGAAGCTCTCGCCTGCCACCATGCGATCAGATACCGGTCTGCTGGGACTGATGAGGCGAAGTGACGCCGCTGGAGGTGACACGCGCGATTTTCCGCGGATTGCCGCTCAGCGAGAGCTGGACATGTACCAATGTCTTCTGAGGGAGCATTGGAAGTCCACGTCTTGGCACTCCGGCCATGCCATCTGTGGTGGGCGAAGGCCGGGTACGGGCAAGCGCAAGCGTAGGTGAATTTCAGTGCGGTGCCAAGGCATTTGAAATCAAGACCAGCGGGGAGGAGCGCATATCTGCTGCATTATGCATACATCATCGTCGATATTGCCTTCTTTGGTTCGCGTCGTCAATGCTCGTGATGGAAGACTGCATCTATCATGCACGCATCCGCTCCGCTCGGTGTCAAGTGTGTTTCTGGTGGCACGCTCGCGTACACACAGCTGCGTCATACGCCTTGCCAGAGGCTTGGAAGACCTCGAGCGGTTTGGGTGACCCTTCCCACGCATAAGCCCGGCGGAAGGTGGATGAACATGTTCCTCCGCACAGCAGTGCTGCGAATGAGGAGAGAAAGGACTGCAGCCGGTAGGGCTCCGTGGAAGGCGTCGGGTGGTTGTATACAACAGCTCGGGCCGCTGCCACCGGCGCATTCACCCACTGGCGCGCTTCGGCATTACCACCTGGAAAGTCTTTGCTCTCTACGCCGGAGCTTTCGTCACGGCTGCAAGGCACATTCGGCCCGTCAAAAGAAGAGCTCGGGACAGAGATAGTCTGCCGATGGAGAGGAGCCGATCACAAGATGCATCCCAAAACGCTCTAACGAGCGGACGATCAGGGTTACAGCCCTATCATCTACTTATCCACATCTCCTGGCGATCAAGCAGAAAAGTGCAGCTGCAGATGATCCACCACTCAGCATCTGCCAAATCTCTGGTCAAAGCCAGCAAAGCGGCCCTGTGACCTCCCGAAGCATCAGTGCGGTGTCACTGACCGAGGCCCATGCAGGGTGCGATCGTGCCGTACCGACAACTGCCACGCTTGAAGGACAAACAGTCCTTCACGATAGTGGTCCGTGCTGGTCGTATGCAGACCATTCTTTAGCTCCAGCGAGCAACGCCGGCGAGAGTTCCTTGCTCACGATGGTCGCTCAACATGATCCTGCGATATGAGTTGTATGGTGTGCGAATGAGGGCTGGACAGGAGTTTCACAGTGTTGTTTCCAGCGTTTGACGGCGACGCGAGTCCCGCGAAGATCCACGGAGTATAAGATGAAGCCCATCTTCGCAGTGTCGTCGTCTGAAGGATCAACACGACTTAAGAGAGAATCCACCAGCCCTGCCTGCCTATCTGCCTAGACTTCTTTCTCAACATCGCCAAGGATCGCGCATGAGTTCGTCATTAGCCGAGATTAAAAAGCGCTTCCCAGATGAGGACGGCGGCCGTGGTTCGAAAGGGTCAGTAAGTATTTATCGATCGGTGAATTGTCGGCTGAGGTTGTGTCCAGCAACAATGGTTCTTCCCGCAGCGTTGCGGCCACGTTTGGCAGCGCTCGACAAACTGAATCCCAGAGCGCCGTCACAGCTTCAGGTGGTCAGCAACAACCTAAGCCTAACAAAGACCGCAAGAGCGATGCACGGCAGCCATCCTACAACCTCCATCGGTATCTAGCGAGCCAAAATCCATACGAGTCGCTGGCTCTCGGCCTAAGCTCCCAACGGAAATCCAGCACCCAGAAGAAGTCGGCGTAAACGGAAAGACCATCACAATATCCATGTCTCCATATGATCGTCAGCCCTCGTTTTGTAACGATCACGCATGTTCCTAGCAATAGCACGCGGATGCGCGGAATGACCTGCATAAATTTAGCTCAGCAGCTTAGCCTTCAGTATTGCCTACTTACAGAACAAAGGAGACAGCATTGAAGATATGTCTAGTCATTGTCAGAAGTTGAGTTCCCAAAGATTGATTCCGTCACTGGTAATGGTAAAGCGAGCTGCCGCCTTGCTAAGAGCATCCCGAGACTTGGTAGATTCCTTTCCGTACCATTTCATTTCCCAAACGAAGCACAGGGTATCATGGCAGTGCCCAAATTGCAACCTTCATCCATTGCTTCGTACTTCGTAGACCATTCTCGATCTGTGTAATATTTGTGGCAGTCAATCTTCTGCTTCTGTCGTCGTGCAATACAGGTTCATGATTGACCGGGTCGATCCAAAGCGAATGGATGCGGCGTATCTGGCCGCGTTCCTGCCCCCATGGCCACGTCCCTTGTTGCCTCTCCGACGAAAGGTAAACGAGTCTCCTAGGAGTGAGTACTGTTCGAATTTTGCTGCTCATTCTGCTCTGCTTGTCGTACAGGCGCGAAGTACTGGTGCGCCATTGCTTCTTTTGCGGTCAGCCGCTCCTGTCAAAAAGTCAGCATTCAGCATTAATGACGACATGCCTGTAATCATTACCTGGTGGTCGTAGCGTAGAAGTTTGTCTAGGAAGTCGATAGCATCGTTGCTAACGAAGCGCTGATTTTCGGAATTGACGAAAGCATTCCAGCTCTTCTTCGGAAAGCGGCCAAGGATGTCGTCGTATTGCGCGTCGAGTTCGATGTCGTACTTGTCGAGATAGTCGAAGAGATCTTCGGTGCCAAGAACCTTGGCAATCTTAACCAACTGATCGCTGTTACTGTTTCCGTGGAAGAAGGGCTCTTTCCTGAAGATCATGCTGGCAAACATTGCGCCCAGCGACCACATGTCCAGACTGTAGTCGTACTCCTGGAAGTCGACAAGGAGCTCCGGCCCCTTGAAGTAGCGGCTTGCAACTCGCACGTTGTACTCGGTTCCTGCATGATAGAATTCGGCGAGACCCCAGTCGATGAGACGAAGCTTTCTATTCTCATGGTCGATCATAACGTTATGAGGCTTCACATCTCGATGCATGATTCCTTTGCTGTGGCAGAAGTCCAGAGCCTTGAGAAGCTCGTAAATATAGTAGCGCACATCGTAGTCCAGAAACTTGGGGTATAGTGTGCGAAAGTCGGTATTGTTGACATGCTCGAATATCAAGCTTGGTGTCTTGGACTGGCTGTCTCGGACAACGTCGAGGAGTGCAACAATATTGGGTCCGCCAGACAGGTTTTGCAGGATCTTAATCTCACGCTTAATCTTCTTCTTCTTGACCGGCTTCAGGACCTTGATGACGCATTTCTGGTAGTTGACGACATTGACGCCCTCGAAAACCTCACTGTACTTTCCGCGACCTAGAGTACGCATGGTCAGCTATCATGCACAGGCTTCCATAGTCCTCCACATGCGCGCCTCTTACCGATTTTTCGCACAACTTCGTAGTTCTCCAGGACGCCCCAGCTGATGTTCACACTGTCATAGTCCCAGTATGCGCGCGGCATCTGTTGGTTGACATCTGCGTATACTCGCGCCATCTTGAGCGCTGAAGCCTTCGAAGAACCTCAAGTTGCTACGCCAGTGCCAGTGACAGTGCCGGCTTGCGCGGCTGTTACGATGTTCTGAGGGGCAGTGATCGCGTATGTATGTCGGTCGCAATGATGGTGTCGCTTCGGCTGGCGGCGGGAGAGCGTAGGCAAGTGCGCGGATTATTCGGCTGGGTTGGTGGGTGTGTCTCTGCTCTGCACTGATCGAGGTGTCAGCAAGGAAGTTGCCGGTCGGTCGACGGTGGTGGGTGGGGTGACGCAACTTGGAAGTCCAAGTGGAGGAGCCAAGGCCGCCTCTTGACTTCTCGATCACCGTGGACTTGACCCCCTGATGACTTCTCACACATCCGCCACATCATGGGCCTTCTAGATGACACGCCCTTACAAAAGCTCGTTGTGCCAGGCGTCACATCCCTGGTGGCATTTCTGGCGTTCACATCACAATGGCTCTTCTACCACATTGAGCCCGGACCATTACGGAAAGGCGACTCATACCTGTTCAACGCGTCCGTGATATCGCTGTTGATCTGCTACTGGAGAACATGCTTTACCGACCCTGGGCGGATACCTAAAGACTGGCACGAAATGACCATTGACATTGACTCCAATTCCGCGCAAGACGCCAGCAAGACAGCTGCACAGAGCAACAAATGGTGTAGGAGATGCGAGACATTCAAGCCGCCCAGAGCACATCATTGCAAGACTTGCAAGCGGTAGGACCCTATCAATTCTCTGCGCTATCACTGTGCTCACTAAACCAAGGTGTGTCACGAAAATGGACCATCATTGCGTGTGGACAGGTAGGCCCATCGCGTACGAGGATACGAGACGGTAGGTAACAGCTTCTCAGCAAACTGCGTTTCACACATTACCATTCCTCACTTCATACGCTTTCTCTTTTACGCCGATGTTTCTATGGCGTTCCTACAATACTTCTTGTTTCAGAGAGTGGCAGTTCTCTGGGAGAAGAGGCACCTTCCAAGCGTAAGTACAACCTTCGAATTTATAGGCATAGCATAAGGTGGAAAGTGCTGAGTTCTGCCTTCAGTACCTGGGTCCTTCGGTGCTGCAGCTAGCGCACCTGTTCATTCTGTGCGCGACCAATTCGATGGTGCTTTTCGCACTTGTTCTGCTTCTCGGACGAACTCTCTGGTCACTAGCTGTCAACACGTGGACGATTGAGGGATGGGAGATCGAGCGACATCATACGCTACTGCGGCGCGCGAAAGTCCTCGGCGGCTACCTCGAAGGCCCGGATGGAAGGAAAGTGCGCATCGATCACCAGGAATTTCCATGGGACGTTGGCATCTGGTCCAACATCTGCCAAGGCATGGGCAGCAGAAATCCTTTGAGCTGGTTCTGGCCATTCTCACGAAGTCCAAGCATCGAGAGTGGATTGAGCTTTGAGCACAATGAAATAGATGGTATCTTCTGCTCCCCTACCCACTACGTCCTCAGCTATTAATTTGTATTCAGATCCAAGCAAGCCATGGCCGCCACCAGATCCAGACAGGCTTTTCCGAGCAGAGAGGAAGCCACTAGTAGGTGACGGATTCACCAAGGCATGGGATGTCGATGCGTTCAAGCAACGGCAAGCTGCTGACTTGACGCGCTATACCGACGCGGACGGCGAGTTCGTGCTGCGCAGACGACCGTTCCACGAGCGTCTAGAGAAAGCCACTCGCCAAAAGGCAAATCAGTCCTACCAAGACGAGAATGCGCTTGAGACAGATGATGGATCGGATGTGGAAGAGGTACCTCGTGGACGCTCACATTCAGATGCGGGCGAAGAGGCATGGCGAAACCAAGAGGGAGAGCGTTTGGCTGACTTTGGAGTTGATGAGGTTGCGGACTTTTACGATGAGGACGACGTGCCTCTAGGAGAATTGGTCCGAAGAAGACAGGAAGGCGAATGGCGACTTTGATGGCATCTGGATACATCGACCGCAGAAGTTCTTCAACATCGTTTTCTCTATTCTATAGGCGATTCTCACAGAGATGCATCTTGAAAATTGGCATGAAATTTGATGACCCTCTTTCCAGCCCAGAGAGTCAGGCGTCACTGTTTTAATATATCAGCAATCTCAATGCGACACGAGTCTCCATCGGCGTCTGTCGTGCGAAGCCTGAGCCGCACAGACACAAGGGGTCGGTATATGAGCCCCGACCAATCAAAACATCTCAAATCCATCGGCGAACAGTCCGACCAGGCCGAGCTCGCAGGGCGGTGAGCCGCAAGAAAAAAAAGATCCATAGAGTTCAGCCCGTCCGTGAGGCTCTTCCTCACGCGTTTCTACGCCCATCGTCATCAGAGGTACAAAGCTACCTCTTCATCAGTACTAGAACGAACAAACTCCTCAAGAGCTCCGTGCAGCTCGCTCCCACATAGCCGAATCCACCCGCTTCGCAGGTAACACAATACACAGAGCTGTAGATGTCCACGACTCGATATCTTGGTTCGAACGAGTATGGCTGCCGGTCTCGGAGATCCTCAGCGTCGGGATACAGCACAGCAGAGCAGCAGTAGCAGTCAGTTCGAAACGAATTCTTCGGCTCCGGTTTTCGATACCGCAACCGTCTCGAAAGCGGAGAAGATGATGATGGGAGGGAAGAAAGAGGAATGGAATACTAAGAATTTGAGCCAGAGACTTGTGGTAGATGCAGGATGTGCGGTGGCTGCGGGTGCTGCTGTTGCGCCTGTTGTTAGTATGATTGATAGGTAAGGAGGAGAGAAAAAGAAGGAGGATATTTGTGGAAGTGATTACGGTACGCTGATTTTTGAGAACTGCAGAGCCATCATGGAAAACGCGTCAGGGAAGCAAGCCCTCATGACATCGATCAAGAATTCCATGTCGAAACTCTTTCTCCGACCACATCTTTACCTGACTTCGAAACCTTTTGCGCTCATTGTCATGGTCTACGGCGGCACATACCTCAGCGCGAATTTCCTCGATACGTTCAAATCCACCACACGTTGCAGACCTGCGAGCCACGTTACGCATGGACCGGCGAAATTCGCGGCTACGAGCGCGGCGAATCTGAGTCTGACGATGGTGAAAGATAGCCAGTTTACGAAGATGTTTGGCACGGTCAGCAATCGACCCGTCCCGCCTGTCACGTACGCACTCTTCGCTCTCCGCGATGCCATGACGATTTTCGCGTCGTTCAATCTCCCGCCTATGATTGCTTCGCGACTTCCGATGACTGAGGCGGCTGAGAAGGTTATGAGCAGGACGTCCGCAGCTCAGTTCTTAGCTCCAGCGGCTATTCAGCTTGTGAGCACGCCGTTCCACTTGTATGGGTTGGATCTGTACAACCGGAACGGTGGAACACCTTTCAGCGATCGCTTGAATAAGGTGCGCATTGATTGGTTGAAGAGCAGTCTGGCACGAATGTGTCGTATCGTTCCCGCCTTTGGATTTGGCGGCGTCTTGAACAACAGCTTGAGGCTTCGCTTCCAGAAGCAGTTAGAATAGGAGGATAAATGGTCAATACCAGACGACAGCTCTAGAAGAATGTTGAGGAGCGATGCTTTGATATGGAGTACAACATGCATGGATTGGGTAATAGAAAGTCCGATGTGGACGGCGCAATACAGCGCTATCGAACACTAGCAAATCATATTGTGAACAAGATGCGCATAGCTCGGGAGTTTGGATGTTTGTTTGCGTGCTGCATTGCACAGGAGTCGGGTATGCAAATGTGAGAGGTGTACAATAGCTTGTTCCGAGGAATTTGGTGGCTGGTAACAAGGGCATGGAAGTTGTGTTACCACACTCCAACGTAATCCATTCTTCCGTGTCTCAAGTCCGTCTGGAGTATGCTCGTTCGCCTTCGAATCTCCGGTTTGAAGGGCATCTAATGGAAGAATGAGCTTACTGATTCCCACTCGGGCCATAGACGCCGCGGAGGAGATTGACAGATTTATCGTCCGACAGGAGGTGATGAACTCGGGCAAAGACCTGCTCAAGAGCTTGATGTGGCATCAATCTCAGCCGCTTCAACCCATTTGCCTTCTACAGACTTCTTCCAGACTCGAGTTGCACCATCATCTCCAGTAGTCAAGAGCATGTCTGCCATGGGTGCCCACGACACTCGCCAAGGCGTCTGCTTGTGCGATTCGAGTTCCGCGACCAGCTTGACGTCTTGTTTGACAGCTCCTGGTGCTCCAGCGTTGTCATCACGTCGGCCACGAGCACCACCGGCTAGTCCAGCGCCAATTCCCGAGCGAGCAGGTCTTGAAACTGGAGTGTGTGTTTGCGGCGTATCATATCCTGACCCAGAGCCATTTGTTGAGGTGGGTAAGGAGGCCGCGCCAGGAGTATGGAGCTCATAGATCCGAATGAAACCATCCTTGCTTGCGGTTGCGATGTTGTCGAATCCTCGCATGCTACCGTTTGCCCAGTTGACATCTCTGATGAGGTCTTTGGCACCTTCAAGCGTTGCAGCAATGTAGAACTTGCGCTCTTTATCGGTTCGAAATATTTTTACCGAATTGCCAATCGCTACGGCAAGACTCAGACTTTTTCGGTCTAAGCCTGCAAGCACTGCTGGCCACGCCGGTATCTTCTCCTTATGCCAGCTTACACGGAAAGCAGTTTCTTCGGTCCTTGGAGGCGCCGGTCTACAAAGTGGTTCTGACCACATCTTCCGCCAGGCTGAGAGGTCATCATGATCGTCAGGTTCACAAACTGTCAGATGGCCGTCGCGTGTTATTACGGCAAGATAGCTCTCAGTGCCAATGTTTTTGAAATCGAGAGACATATAAGGGATGCCAGTCTCGGTGCGTTGCTGGTAGATCCTTTTGAACCTTCGCCCGGAATTGTGCGCTTCGCTGACATCTTCACGCCATATCCTCAGGTAGCCGTCATCGCCAATGCTTGCCAAGTGCTCTCCAACGAATGGGCCGTTCCACTTCACACCGATGACTTCAGCGTCATGTGCTGTCCACACGTCTGTGACAAGCCACTGGCCAGTCTTCTCGTTGCGGTCCCAGACCTTGACCCTGTGGTCGGCAGATGCCGTGGCCATACGCGTACCATAGTAGTTGTAGTCTACGGAAAGCAGCAGATCCTGGTGGCCATGTGAGAAGCGGTGAAATGCATTGCTTGCAGCCATGTTGATACGACAGGGAGTCGCGACTCGCAATGCAGGAACGTGCAGCTCAGTGCAGCACGGCGGGAGTCATGCTGTGCGGATAGATGCAGACCTTCTCCAATCGTTCACACACCTCGCGCGAGTTAGAACATGTTGTACACTGCCATGTGTTGCACGCGGTCCGTGAAGTTCGGAGTTGGACTCCTGGAGTCTGCTTGCTGTGCAACACAACGACGCAAAAAGCGAGGACGCATGCCAAGCCATCCACCGAATTGAGTTTAGGAGGATGGCCGGGGTGGATGCACTGCAAACTGTCCTGTAATTCCTTCTGCGATGCCATCATGAACACGAACACAAGATGGAGTGCATCTCATCTACACTTGCACCAAAGGCATCACTATGGAGCCGCTGAGCAGGTCGGAGGTGTACACGCTGGGCGTCTTTGCGGCCGCTTGCCTGGCAGTCCTCTCAAGTTCTTGGCGCAACGATGGAGAGCCCTTCTACGCCTCTCTGGCCATCAGTGGTCTGGCCTACGCCTTTTCGTACTGTGTCATCAGATGGACTGGAGATGTGTTCCTGGCTCGCGGCTACAAGGGCAAGGACAAAGGGAAGAAGCATGAGCCTGAACTGTGAGAAGGTCGAGCATCTGACATCGAATTGCCGCTGACGATGCCGAAGACCAGAGATGATGGGTCTGATATGCGCCTTGGTATATCTCCTTACGCTCGTTTGCTTCCTCCCGTTCGCGTTCAAGCGCGATATCGCGGAAATGACGTCTGGCGCTGATGACCAGGATCTCGTGTTGGAAGCACAACAGATTGAGACAGGGCGCTTTCTCCACCGATTTCCGCTGGAAAAGGTTTGCGGGATGACTTCTCCTGTAAGCAGTGCGACACAGCTAACCGCCTTCTTCAGCTCGCCTCCTATGGCTTTGCATATGGCACATTGGCCTCCACGACACTGCTTGGAATCCTGGACGATTCGTTCGACATGAGATGGAGACACAAATTCTTCATCCCAGCTTTCGCAGCATTGCCAATGCTTGCATTGTACTATGTCGACTTCGGTGTTACATATGTTGTGGTACCGCTTCCTCTGCGTGGCTACCTGGGAGAAGTCGTTGATCTTGGCGGGCTATACTACCTCTACATGGCTGCCATATCCATCTTCTGCCCCAACAGCATCAACATCCTGGCTGGAATCAATGGCATCGAAGTCGGTCAGTCACTCGTGATTGCAGGATTGATTGCGGTGAATGATGCGTTGTACCTCCTGCCAACGGTGCACCAACCACACCCTGCGGCAGAATCGCATCTGTTCAGCATCTACTTGCTTCTGCCGTTCATCGGCGTTTCGCTTGCACTGCTGAATCACAATTGGTTTCCCGCCAAGGTGTTCGTCGGCGACACTTACTGCTACTTCGCAGGCATGGTGTTTGCCGTGGTGGGCATTCTGGGACACTTCAGTAAGACATTGCTCTTGTTGCTCATTCCTCAAATCTTCAACTTCTGCTACTCGGCGCCGCAGTTGTTTCATTTCGTGCCTTGTCCAAGGCATAGGTTACCGCAATTCAAGGCCAGCAGCGGGCTGCGGGAGGCATCCGTGGCCGAGTTTGCGGTGGACAAGCCCATCCGCCCGTGGGTCGGAGAGGTGCTGAAAGGTCTGCACAAGCTCAAACTCATTCGCGTCAAAGTGGATGACACCGGACGAGTCACGGAGGCGAGCAATATGACCATTTTGAATCTATGGTTGGTGTGGAGGGGCCCTTTGCGAGAGGACCGGCTGGCCTTGGAAATTTTGATTGTGCAGATGGCGTGCGGGATGGCTGGCCTGGTGATTAGACACTGTCTGGGTCGATGGCTCTTCATACCCGCGGATAATCGGTTCTGACGGCGAGTTGCTCTTGTTCTGCGAGCGACCTTGCGTGCGGGACGCTGGCCAGAGGGCACTAGATACATAGATCCTCCAGCACATTGTCAGTGAACCGTGGTCACAAATGGTCAACTGGATGCGCCATGGGCACGCACAGTGGAGACTTCCAGCACATGGTAACCAGGCATGATGATGGCTGTGAGGCCGCTGGGCGCATGGCGCGCGTCGAGACCGTCGGGCTTCGCACACTCACTCCAGCGTCACTGCATCGCGAAATGAAGTTGAGGCCACGCTCGTTGCCGCCCTGTGTCCGCCGAGTCTACTTGAAACCAGACCGGCGTCGTCGCTTGCAGCTGCGGGCGTACCCGGTTGCCGCTAGCGCTGCAGGAACACAAGTCGGACGAGCAAACGGGACTCCCTCAGCACACCCAAACACCACCCTTGCATTCCTCTCGACGTGCCCGCCGCCAAGCACCCGCCTGCAGTCTCGGCGCCTGTTCGATCCCATCCCGTGCAAATCTCACGGCGTGCTGCACAGGAGGTGCGGGTGGGGCGCTGGAGCTGCCAACGTCCTCTTCCACTGCACCAGGCTCGTGGCGTGGCGTCGGTCGACACACCTAAGTACCCGACACCTGCACACCTCCTTCTTCCCTTCTTGTCCACCCTTTGGTCCGCATGCACGGTGTTGCATAGACATCGACACGCCTCTGCGAGGTCTGGCCTGGTGCTAACACACACTCCTTCACCCCGTCACTCCTTCAAAAAGCTCGTCTGAGCGTCCATTCCTTTCGGAGCCATCCACCAGCATCACAGGCACCATCACTTCGATCGCCTTCGCCAGCAGCTCTGAGAGCGCGGCGTCCACTCTCTCGCCTCAGAATCAGAATCAGAATCACATACAGACCGACAGCACGTGCCCGCCACATTGCATCGACCGATCCAGCCCGCCATGCTCGCCATTCTCTTCGCCGTCCTCTCGGCATTGGCCATCCGGACGGCGTCTGGAGCGTCCGTATTTGCTCATTTTATGATGATGAACTCATACGCATACGACCAGGACATGTGGAAGAAGGACATTGCCGCTGCCCAACAAGTCGGCATCGATGGCTTTGCGCTCAACTGGGTCCCACCCAATTGCCAAGCCGACGAGAGCTGGGTCATCGATAGAATTGATGATGCCTTTTCCGCCGCCGAAGACATGGGCTTCAAGCTCATGTACTCCTTCGACATGAGCTACACCCAATGCAATTACTACTGGAACCAGACCTTCATGCAAGAAATGATTACGAAATATGCCGGAAGCTCGGCCACATACCGCTGGAACAACGACATTCTCGTCTCGACCTATGGTGGCGACAGTGTCGATGACCATTACGGAAACGAATTCTTCCAGGGTCTCAAGGACAAGATGAAATACTGGAACAATCCCATCTCCCTTGCGCCAGCCTTGACCACCTACTCCATGCACGCATACGAGAACCCAAACACTGCGGCATCCAACCTGATCTCCGACTTCTCCTCGATCGATGGCTACTGCAACTGGCAAGCATGGCCTCTCGATTGTGAGAGCAACATTACCGCAACACCCGACCAAGCGTTCCAGAGCGCATTAAAGAATGCCGGCAAGACGGGTCCTTACATCATGAGTAAGTCGAGCAAGGGATAATGTCTCAAAAGAACAAGTGGCTGACACTAGTCTCTAGCGGTCTCACCCTGGCAGTACAAGGACCTCAACAATGGCAACCCTCTCGATGCCTGGGTCGCATATAGCGACCAGCTATTCCCCAAGCGCTTTCAGCAAATCACGAGCAACCATGAAGTTCAGCCAGACATTATTGAGATCTTGACCTGGAACGACTTTTGCGAATCGCACTACATCCGCGACTTGCCATCGCGAGATAAGACTGCCAAGGACTATGTCGAGCTCGGCGACATGGGCGCCTATGTATGGGGACAGAACCACGCTCCGTGGCGCGTAATCGCCAAGTACTACATCTCTTGGTGGAAGACGGGCAAGGCGCCAGAAATTACCATGGATCAGGTAGTGTTCTGGCATCGCATTCATCCCAAAGCCACCATCTGCACCGAAGGTTCTTCAACCGGTATTCGCAACAATGCGTTCCCAGAAGATGCTGTCTTCGCTTGGGCTCTTGTCAAAGATGCTGCGACCATTTCCATGTCTGTCGGCAGCAACAAATACTGGACTTTCAAGGCCGACGGCAGCGGACCTTCCATGGGCTTCGTACCTTTCCCAGCATACGTGTCGGGCGATGGCGTGACGCCAGAAGTCTCTATCGTACGCAACGGCAAAGTCGTTGCGGTCGCAGAGAGCTCTGTTGCGATCTCGAGTGATTGCGCATGGCAGAACTTCAACCCAGTCGTCAACCTCGTTGGAGATGGTGAGTCAAGCAATCAACGTCTACGTTGAATTCAGAACGGCTAACCACCTTGTGGACTCTTAGGCATTAACCATGGTCTGTGACCGGATTGACGACTTCCTTCACTTCTCGATACCTGCAACATTTGCATTGCGTTGCGTTTTGTGTTTCTGCATAGCCTGCGGCTTACGTTGTTTGTACGATCCTCACGGCGATCACGGATGAAGATACAAGTCTAGAATTAGCGAAGGTGTTTCTGGGATGTTTTAACAACTCTTCGCTGGGAGGGAGTACTGCAAATCTTCCTCTTCCACATCTCGCCCTTTCCATTACTGTCTCAAGCTCGCTTTTTGATTGACAAGTACCAGCTTGCCGATCGCTCTTCTACCCGCCCTTGCCAGAACGACAATCATAACATTGCCGACTACTTTTCCCACGCCGCCGTATAGAGCTTTTGGAGGCTCGAAAGATATGAAAGCAGATTTGGCAGACCACTGTCCATCGCTGACAGTAACAGCTGAGCTTGGCAAGACCTTGCCATCGACGGAAACCTCAATCGTTGCACCACTGGAGTCACTACCTGTCACCTCAACTTCATTATCCTCCACTCGCTCCGCACTTGCTACCTTGAGGGCCAGTCCTTCTGCGTCCAGTCCAGGCTGTGGGGGTTTCAGAGTAATTCTATCAGACTCGAGCTTATCAGCCGCTCTCCTGGCATCAGAAGCCGCTGCTTGATCGAATACATCCTCGTTGAGAATTGGAATGGAGTTCAAGCACGGTCCTCGCACATCGTACGTGGCTATGCGTTGAAGGTATTTGGAAACAAGCTCTACTGATGTTATGGAGCCGGTAGATAATGCATGCTGGAGGTCTGCTATGCTTGCTTCGACGAGATTCTGGTAGCTATCAAGTCTGATCAGCCCGGGTATAACAAATTATGATTTTCCCTACACACAATCGACATTCTTGAACTCTAGTACCACTTTTTCCTTCTCTGGCATTTGCTTCCGGATCTAGTATAAGCATGTGAGCCATCTCCAGGGTACATGTATATAGCCAGTCTCGGAAGAACCTGCTCCATTGGACTGATCAATCAACCAAAAGATTGTGCTCCAATTGAGTTGGCCGAAGTCGCCGTTCCCCCAGCGCAGCGACCGTAGCCGATCTTTAGCCGCTCTTTGAGCGCATCGCCGCATTTGCTGCCGGGCCGGGTAGAACATGGCGCAACCGGCAAACTTGTAACATAAATTCTCAATTGATAACGAGCATTTCCTCTCCACCCTACTTTATCTTCTATTCAGTTGCTGGTCAACATTCTTCCACTTCCACATAACCCAGCCAACCAAGCCAGAACAGAACCATGGCACCTTCAGCAATCTCAAAATTCCCCAACGACACCAGCAGCATCCCCTCAACCAAACCCACGAAAAAAACCGACGATACCGAACTCACAGAACAAAAGAAAAAATCCCCCCTCCAACTCATCTCCCAAGGAACCTGTCTCCCGGGCATCCCCAAATTCATCTCCTTCTCCACCCACCGCCAATGGCAACTCGAACACATGGCCCTCGCCTTCCGCATCTTCGCCCGCAAAGGCTACAGCGAAGGCATGTCGGGCCACATCTCAGTCCGGGACCCGGAAAACCCTCACAGTTTCTGGACGAACCCTTTAGGCCGACATTTCGGGCTCCTGAAAGCCAGCGATATGATTTTGGTGGATTATGAAGGGAACGCGATCGGAGGGAATCTCTCGAGGCCCGTGAATGCGGCGGGGTTTTTGATCCATAGTGCGCTGCACCGGGCGAGACCCGATGTTGTGGCGGCTTGTCATACGCATTCTCCCGCGGGCAAGGCGTGGAGTGCGTTTGCGAGGCCGTTGGAGATGATTAATCAGGATGTTTTGTATTTTTACGGGGAGGCGCAGGCGGTTTATAAGGTGGGGTTTTTGAGGGGGTGGGAGTTTTCTGGGTAAGAGTATGTTTTGCTGATTTTGTGGATAGGATTTTGGAGGTGTGGTTTTCACGCAGGAAGAAGGGGAAAGGCTTGCTGCTGCCTTGGGTCCTAATGGAAAGGGTATGATTCTGCGGAACCAGTAAGTCTGATGGGTTCGAGACACATTGAGACATTTGCTAACCTCGTAACCCTTCGCTTTTCGTAGCGGTCTATTGACAGTGGGCAACACCGTCGATGAGGCCGCATACCTTTACACTTTGATGGAACGAAGTTGTGAGGTTCAGCTCCAGGTCGAGGCTGCCGCTGCCAACGGGATTCCAAAGGTCTATGCTCCAGAGGAGTCTGCCAGGTTTACCTACGAGAACGCAAGCGACCCAGAGACACTCTACTGGGAATTCCAGCCAGACCTTGAGTACGAGATGGAGCAGTGCGGTGGTGCTCACGCTTTATGATTGAATGATTGAATGATTGGCATAAGATAGCATTTCGGTATAGAGCTGCTCAACTTGGATAGAATCGGGCTATATTACGAGCACTTTTGAGACTCGAATCCTTTTTTTGATGAACCATTCCAAATCGAATGCGTGAGTTGCCCATGATGCTGCGCCGCGTGTCCTTCAATGCGGAACATATGCTTAGAGGTCTACGAGACCGCCGCGTATTTCCAGAGTCCACTGTGTATACTATAAAAAGTCAGCTCGCTCCTAACATCAACCGATTATAAACTCACTGATCCAAGCCTCGTACGTATATGCTCAGCTCGTTTAGAATCGAGCCATAATACAAGCACTTTTGAGCCTCAAACTCCTTTTCGATGAAGCAATTCAAGTCGAATGCGTGAGTTTGCTAATGATGTCGCGCCGCGTATCCTTCAATGCGACCTATGCTTAGAGGCCTTCAAGACCACCGCGCATATCCAGAGTCCAGCGTGCATACTACGAAAAGTCAGCTCGGTCCTAACATTAACCGGTCGATCATAAACTCACCGATCCAAGCCTCGTGCGCATAGCCTCGACATCCCCGGTAATCGCATTATTGATCTTATGCAGCTCAGTGAACTTCTTAGAATCCTCGAGTTCGAATCGCTGGCGTTGAGCGCGTTTCTCGGGCGAAGTCCACCATTTCTCTCTTTCCTCCTCGATAGTCTCGATCATAGTGAGGAGGAGACGACAGACTTCGAGTAGGGACTCGGATGGCGCGCTCGCTTTGGCTTTCTTCCATGTTTCGTGTTCTTCGTGCGCGTTTTCGACGAGAAGCTCGAGGCTAGGCTTCGTGGCTTCCACGGCCTTTGGCCATCGAGCTAGACCGTTCTTTATTCCGCACAGTTGACACATGGTGAAGGTGCAGGACTGCTATGAAAGTAGCTGGCCCTGAGTGTCGCGTGTTGTGGTCCGCTTGATGTTGGACGCAAGTTGTTGGTTGAAGTTCAGTGGTGACGGAGTAACTTTTAAAGGCTGATGATCCGTGCTCAAGACTTGCATGCATGTGATTGCTGCATGCATATAATTACCGCATGCATGTGCTTACTGGACGTGACTTCACTTTCGGCACAGGCAGCAGCCGACCTCGTTCACTTCTGATAAGTACTGGGGTGAATGAATGCGTAGGTAGCAGAAGCGACCGTGAAGGAGGACGAAGGTTGAATTTGCTGTGTGCCGCAAATGCCGACATCAATCTATAATATCGCAGTCGCCTGGTCCAATACGATGTATCGAATGTACTATGCGAAAAGTCAAAGGATTTAAACACTCTCATACTACCGTCCACAGCGGTCGAGGCATCTCCGTACGCGTCAAACTAGGTCGACGCGTCTTAGGGTCGATCTTCAGGCCGACGTATGCTTCGCGACGCGCTGGATTCCCAGTGGTGATTGAATAGGTCTTCAAGCCATACTTCGCAGATGTTAGTGGGATCGAGCGACAAAAGAAACGGCAGACTCACATATGCGGCTATTGAATGGACGAGATAACGGCCAAAGGCAGCGCCGTGGTCGTCGAGTAGACCTTGGAAGATGAGCTTGTCCTTTTCCAAGTGCTGGCGCTGCTTCTCTCGTTTGCGCTCGTCACTCATAGCCCCATTCCTACCCACGAAGACAATCTCTTCATCAGAGCTGTCAGGCTCTATTAAGCCCTCACTCTCAAGCTCTTTCTGCTTCTCTTCCCACTGCTGCACGAAGCCGCGAACTTCTTCTTCGAGGTCTTGCAGCAGACCTTTTGCGCCTCTCGATTTCTTGAGCTTAGCGCGCAGTTCTTGCGTGACTTTTGCCGCGGCGGCCTCTTCCTTGCTAGCATACTGCTTGCCAGCTTGAACGCGCCTTTGGCGTTCGTGCTGTTTCCGTGCATATTCCGCGTCCCACAATGGTGCCAGAAAGTATGGCACACTGTGGACTGGATGTGTAGGTTGCACCTGCCAGTCGCTAGGAAGAGGCGGCTCCGCATGAGGATTGTTCAGCAAGCGATCGTTCTCCCATCTTTGCCTACGTCTGCTGCCCTCTTTGCCTTTCTGCAAGGCTTCTCGGCGCTTTTGACTATCCCTGCGGATGGGCTCATGACGCTTGTAGACAGTGTGGACTGCCTCAGGCCGAGGTCGTGGAGGATCTTCGCTCAGAACCTGCTCGTCGAGAGAGATATCGATCGTAACGGAAGTACCTCTTGCAGAGCGTGGAGACAGGGAAGTCGCAGCAAGAACGTCGGCCGCCTGAGAGACTGTCCAAGCCTCGACTCTTTCGAACGAAGTCGCAGGTGGCGGCAGCTCGACGCGGACATTGGAGATCTCGGGATGAATGGCCATGATGCGGTATGAAGCAGCCAACTCGTGTGAACCGGGCGTATAGCAGATCGTAGTCTGCTTGCCGCGATCAGGAGGTGTAGATGGTCTTCGAGAGTGGAAAGGCTACGAATGATTTGGAGCCTAACGTTAGGACGACCACATCGGCGCCGCGATAACGGCAATCAAGATCAGATGCATATTGACCAATCAAATGACACGTGGGAATGATGCGTCACAAAGCCGCAGCCAGGAGCTAACCCTGTTTGCTACCGTAATGGCCATTTGCACAAGACATTCACGAAGATATCAACAATCACATGCTGCGTTTGAAGCTTCTTCCGACTTCTTCATGAACACAGACGGTCATAGATAAGAGCTTTGAAAAGGAGACAATTTGCTACCGGCCAGCCCTCCAAGTTCTTGAGGAGGCCCCGATCGCGATTCGCAAGGAATACGATTCGGCGATGAGTAGACGGAGCAGTATCGTAAGGCGTAGCCTGTCCAGGATTCCTGCAAGTCTAGCCATCTCCGTAAAGCTTTTAGTCCAAGCGATCCGTTTCATGTCAAGTCGTCGAGGCAAGGGTTAGTGACCAGGGCTATTATTACATTGCCAGACCAATGGTAATGACTGTTCCCCCAGCCTTTCAGATTGAGGCGTTCTGGAGGAGTGCATCTGCCTTTTCAGAAATGTCGACTTGCATCAGAATCCCTGAGCACATGGGGTTGGCATGATTACGTCTAATCAGACCACACTTTCTTCACCACAATTGCAAGTTTTGCATCGTGAGCTTCTAAAACGGGAGGGGCTTTTTATCTCGTTCGCACCCTTGGAGCACAAGTATCGAAGGCAAGCCGAATGTCATTCAGCTCCGAATCCTCTCCCAAAGAGGACGTCATTCGCCTGTTGTCTTTCCATCCAGGTAAGAGACCACTGGTTCTGATGCGAAGGAGCGAAGGGGCGAACTGCTTGCTGACATCCAGTGCCTTCCCGACATCAATGGCGAGAAGTCGAAAAGAACTCTTTCGGAAGCCACGGGGATGACATTCGTCTGCCTGGCCATTTTGTAGTGTGGCTCGCGTGTTGAGGGGCGGACTTCTTCCACAGTCGCTTCGTATGGGTGAGTGCTGGTGGCTTGAAGGATAGAGGAATTGCTGACAGGACCTCAGTCACACTGGGAGGTCGTCGACGAGCTCATCGCACAGAAGCAGAAGTCTGAGCAAGACCCAAACTTGCTGAGACTTGGCTCGATGCTGTGAAGAAGAAGCAGTGGAGGATTGCAGCACCAGATGATTTAGCGACCATCTCGGTTGGGGACTCGGGCCGCATGGTAATAGACGGATTTCGCCACGCCTTTTGATGCCGCTCCAGGTGCCGCTCCAGGCGCCGCTCTAGCTCCGCTAAGAGCCTCGAATAGGCCTAGTATTCCGTCTCTTCCGCTTCGTGTAGATATCGTGTTTTCGAGCGCGTGGCGCGTATAGTATAGGCAAAATAGCTAAAGTAAAGGCAGTAAGGTCGCGCCTGCTAGCAATCGTCGCTATATTAATCGCTTTAGTATATACGAGGCGTAGAGACCGTAGTTTCCGCTCGCGGCCGACGATTCTATATATAAGGAAGGTATAGAGTCTAGATAACTATATCGATATAAAGGTAGAAGATAAATATAGGTACGTCGCTAGTAGAGGTTATTATTATTAATATAGAGGTTATTATTAATAGCTAGTATGTATTAGAAGGTTAGAAGGACCTTACTACCGCTACGCTTAGCTAATTACCGCGGTAATAGGTTTAGTAAGGCAGAGATTCGCTTCCTAGCTATTATATTGCGAATCGATACTATATAATAGTCTAATCGTTACGTCTACGAGCCGGAGTTAGCATTCTATATTATATATCGGCGGCTATCGTATCCGTATCGCTAGAAGGACCTAACTAACTATTTTAGACGACCGAAGTGCTTTCTATCGATAATCTTCTCGGATATAATACTCTATATCTAGGAGCAGTTTAGAAGCCTTGTTTATTAGTACCTACGATTAAGACGATATTATATTATAAGAGACTTCGTATATAGTATTAAAAGAGCTAGTTATCTAGGCAACTTTTAGGGTTTTATTAATAGCACTTTCCGCGATACTATAAGGCCTCTTCGATCTACCTACGATTAACGGATTTACTATACGGGATATAAGAAGAAGCATAGCTACAAATTCTAAGGTATTATTATACCTAACGGTATACTATCGTCTCTCCTCGGCCTATACGAGGGCAGAACAAATAACTAGTCTATCTAGTAAGATTCCCCTATTCCTAACCGAATACGGCGTCTTATAGATAAACGGAGAATGCTCTATCTATACGGCGATCTAGTATACTATTATACTTATAGTATTATCTGTCTATAGCCTAGCAAGCCTCTGCCGCTATTAAAATAGGCATTTAATACTCGTATGTTAAGGGCAAGAATAGAGATAGAATACGCCTTTAGAAAGACCCTATAACTATAGGGATATCTAGGCCTTACTAAGCAACAATATATTAGCAACTAGCCTATCTCGTCTTATTATCTAACGGCTACTTTGCTTACAAACCTTTATACCTGCCTACGAGGTAGCAATTAGTATACTACGCGCTTTAATATAAGACCTCTATCTACTACGGAATATCTATATCTATATAGCGATATACCTATCTTAGAAGAGCCTGTCTATCTATAGCGAATATACGTGCGGAAGCGACGACGCAAACGGGCAATTAGCACTTAATAACGGATAAGAGGGTTCGAGGCAATGTATTCTCGGTAGTCCGGCCGCCTCCGCGGACCTCCGCGGAGGTAAACTTTATTTTAGTCGAGATGTATATATATACTAAGCTATATCCTTTACTACTATATTTTACTATAACGCAGTACCGGCACCTATATATAATTATAGGAGCGCTTTATCTTCTATATCGTAGCTATAATATACTTTTTGCGCGACTTAATATAACTAAATTTAACTATTTTATAGCTATATAGCGAAAGCGACAAACATGCTATTTTATTAACCCTTAAACTACGACAAATCTACGCTCAGATATCAGAGCTAAAGAGGTTACACGTAATTGGCATGTAATTAAGCCGAGTAAAGCTAGGGTCTTAGTGCCTTAGGCAGGGCTTAGCGCTTAGCGTTAGGCTAACTCTCCTACCTTCCTCCCTCTCCTCCTAGATCCTTATCGAATACTACCTATACCTACTACTACCCTATCTACCTGCTAACATACCCTTCTTATACAGTATTCGATCTATCCTTTAAGGGCAGTAGCTAGATAGTCCTTATTTCAAGCTTTTAGCGGTATAGCTACGAACAAGACTAATCTAACTATATTGCGCCCGAAGAACGGGACCTATACGTACTATTCTATCGAAACAACCGTACCAATTATTAAGTAAGGCCTTCTATACGGCCTATTACACTAAGTTAAGTATACTAAGCCGATATCTACTAATTCCGCTATATCCGTATCTTAGGGGCTAATAATACATTATTAGTATCGCCCCTTATAATAGCTAGTTTATTACGAAACAACAACCGTGCTGCCGCTAGTAGCGCTAGCAACGACAACGCTAGTAGCATAGTGCCTGCTAAAGTGCCTTCTGCTAAAGAGCCTGCCGGAGAGCCTGTTAAAGAAGAACCTGTAATTCTAGGTAATAATCTAGAATTGCCTATCGACGACATTCTTAACAATATTATTAACCGTCGATATAGCTAACTAGCCTTTAGCCCCTAACTAGTAGAGAGACTCTAAGAAGCTACCTAAAACAGGCTTACTGCCCTACGTTAAGAACAATAGCTAAAGGATAACCTCCTCGAAATTCGCCGCCTTTAGGAGGCCCTAATAACTAATACTAAGCCGATAGTAGGGCCTTCCTTACTATTAGTCCTAGTCTAGAAGAAGGATGCTAAACTCAAGGACTGTACCGTGTTTAATAGCTCTAGTCGAAAGCAATATAACGACTATATTCGTAACTATAAGCTTAACTAACGAAATGCACTAAGGGCCCTACTAGACGACTATTCGCTAGTCGTCTATGCTATATAATACATTAATAGAGACCTAAAGCGTACCTAGGATAACTACTTTGACTCCCTTACTAATTAGACCGCTATTTAGTAGCAAACCTACAAAACTATTATACTAGACACCCTTAGAAACCCTATACTAAGGCAACAATACGCTTAGGACTAGTACCTTCGGGCTAAGCAAAAGACTAATTAATTAGCCCGTTCATTTAAGGCCTATTTAAAGACCCTCGAGGACGATTTGCTAGCTAAGACCGACTCTATCTAGATTTCCGAAATACGCCCTAAATTGCGATAGGAATTGGTCCTTAAATGATTGGACCGCCGCCGTGTGTTTAAATAGGCTAATCTTATACGCATTTAATTCATAGTCGAAGTCGAAACTGCTAAACGAGCTGTCTAGCTCTAGCAACGACTAGAATTAAGGATCCGACCTACTAGTAACCGTAGCAACCGTAGCCGCGGAGGAAATCAAGGTTCCTACTAAGACAATAACGCTAATAATAGGAATAGTAACAACGACCGTAGAAGAAGCCGTAGCCGGCGGCTATATAGAGGAGGCCGTAATAGGGGCCGTAGAAGGGGCTCGTATCCCTATAGTACTAATCGCTCGGCTAATAATAGCGGCAACAGCTATAGCAATCCCCTAACCGGACTAAAGTGCTTCAATTGTAATAGTACTAGCTATCTACTAGGCTAATGCGACAAACCTAAGGACTAGGCCCGAATCGACCGTACTACCGCTAAATACCGAAAGCACCTTTTAGTAGCTAACGCTACCCCTATAGGCTAACCTTCGAAAAAAGAGTAAGCGCCGCACTAACTGTTAGCCTTGTGCGGCGTAAGACTATCGACATTATACTAGCTATTATACGTACCTGTCTCGTATCGGATACGTATAGGACTAACTATAAGACTAAGGTTATACTAGATCTAGGAAATTCAGTTAGTGCCCTTATTAGCTATCGCCTAGCTAAGCAATTAGACCTTCGACAACTGCCTAGGACTAACCTGCCAACCCTTACTTAGTTTAATAACGCTCGGCACTTAACCTACGGAGCCTACTATATCTATATAGCCCTAAGAGACGACCTCGGCAATAAGCGCCTACTAAACTTTACTACCTACGTAGTAGACATAGACAGCCTCCTATCTGAGATTGTTATTAGCAACCCTGTTCTTAAGTACTATGCTATAGTTATAAACTTAGGCAGTTAATAGTAGCGATTTGGAATCGCTAGGAAAGAGGACATTAAACACATCGATATTAGCGAGTGCCCTAACGATATTAGGGTTCTATTTATCGGCAACCTAATACCTGCCGTAGCTAACCTAACAGTCGACCTATTAGGCGATAACAATAAGCCTATGCCCCCTAATAGTATAGACCCTAATTAGCTTGCTCGTATACCGGAGCCTATTCGAGAAACCTATATTAATGTGTTTAAACACTACTTAGCATCGACATTGCCTATATTTAAAGAGACGGATTATAAGATTGATATTATAGCGGGCAAGGAGGTCCCTTTTAGCCCCCTCTACAACCTTAGTAAACGAGAGCTTACTATATTGCGTAAGTACCTAGAGGAAAACCTAGCTAATAGTCGCATTCGGTATAGTAACAGCCCTACTAGCGCCCCTATCCTATTTGTACTAAAGAAGGATAGTAGCCTACGTCTGTGTGTTAATTATCGTAGGCTTAACGCTATTACTATTAAAGACCGCTGCCTACTTCCTCTTATTAACGAGACCCTCGATCGCCTTTCTAGTGCTTACTACTATACTATATTAGACATTAAGGACGCCTATTACCGCATCTATATCCGTAAGGGCGATAAATAGAAGACAGCCTTTTGCACTCGTTATAGGCATTTCGAGTACTTAGTTATACTATTCGGCTTAGCTAATGCCCCTATAACGTTCTAGTCCTACATTAATCGGGCCCTTTCGGGCCTATTAGATTACCTTTGTATAGTTTACCTAGATAACATCCTAGTTTATATATACTCTCCTAATATTGCGGAATACTAGGCTATAGTCCGCAAGGTACTCGATCGCCTAAGGGCCTATAGCTTGTACTATAAACCCTCTAAATGCACCTTTGCTACTAAAGAGGTATCCTTCCTTAGCTTCCTCGTATTAACCGAGGGTGTTAAGGCTAATCCTAATCGGATTAAAACTATTACTAAATAGCCCGTTCCTACGTTAATTAAGGAGCTATAGTCGTTCCTCGGTTTTACTAACTTCTATCGCCGATTTATTAAGGGCTATTCGAGGCATATAATACTACTAACTAAACTTACTAAAACTAAGGCTAACCCGACTAGAGAG